CAATGTTTTTTTATGTATTTATCATTATTATTCGTAACAGTAGTTGTATGGTTTTTAGAGCGGACGCCCACACACAAAGTAGATTTTTTTTGGACGCAGCGTGCCGAGTGGAGTAATTGGCTGGCGTATCGATGGCGCCTCCTAACCCCACCGTCGCGAGCCATTGTCTTGCCTGCGATGCACAAACATGAAGCCACCTACAAGTGACAGCCAAGGTTATTTACAACAAGCCCAGGCCTGTAATTTTAATTCTCACTCTGAATAATTATCAGTGCTGTGTGTGTGTCGCCGCGTGTGTGTGCGTGCACGTGTGTGGCTGCCACAGTAGGGAACCGAAAGACAAATTATTTTGTTGGCACGTCGCGAATGAATGCTTCAATGAGCCTCCGCTCGTAGGTCACGTGGCGTAAGAGTTCATCAAATGGCCACATACGTCGAACTTTGCCTGTGCAAATGTGTCAATTAAAAAAAAAATCTCATCCCTGTCTTAAAATGACAATACGTGTGATTATACCGTCAGCGCTATTCGTGTTTTTCAGAGTAACATTTCGTCTCGTGACAAGCAAATGGCATCGTTGAAATTGGCCCCTTTGAAATACCACGGGCGACTGAATGAACCGGAGTCGCCCCCCTTCCCCACCCCCCCCCCCCAGCTTTAAGAAGGAGCCGCTATGATGGCCACATGCTCACCTCCCGTCAGTCACGCGCACAACACGCTCATCGCAACACCGTCGTATCGAGAACGTTGATCCTCCTCCCACGTGGAACAATAGCCTCTCTCGTGCGACCACGATCGCTCGAAGGCTGGAGTAGGCACGCGACGAGCAAACAAAGCCATCGTGAGAGGCATACTTCATGCGGTGTGCCGGATACTGAAATATATTCCAGCAGAATGTTTAAATCGTGGTTGACGAGCACATAAAATGGCTATGACACAAAAGCCATAGATTCCCCCAACTGCCGTGAAAGACTGTTGGGGGAAAGCGCCATGAGTGGGAATCTACGAAGGCTGACACGGTGCACGAGGAGGTTGTGTCGCCAGAACCATGCCTGGCCACCTTTGTTTCCCCAGTGCTGATGTTTGCTCATGGCACCAGGCGGTTGTTTATATATTCTAGATTTATATGTTTATATGTTTTGGCTGCAACCAGGTTTCTATGGTGTAACCAGGTCCACATCCAAAGCGAGTATTTATTGCCCAGTCGATTTTCCCTGTTCCAAAATACTAAAATACAAGTCAACATAGCGGAGGCCCACGACCAGTTTGGATAATCGCCAACAATGATTAGCCGTGGCAGAGAATAAGACCGACTAACTAACCATTACACGCGCGCATAAACATTCACATGTATTGAGGTGAGTGGAGGAGGTGTGCATGAACGATAAGCATGCAGTGGGCATGACTATGTATGGGCGTAAAAACACGGCGTCAAATCTCAACCCCCAGTGATTTCACGAAATTGTCTAACAATTCAGGGTCATGATTCCATCCAAGAGTCGATGCCCTTCTGCTTGATTTCTACTGTCTCTTGTTTGCACTGCTTCGTATCTCTTCTGTCTCATCCCCACAATTCTGATGACCGCATTACGCTAAATACGTTTGCATACACAACCTCTGCACAGGTCACAAACAAGCAATTCTTCCCATTCACAAACTGGACATGTGTACCAAGGGCACAATAACCGCCTGGACTCTGTTCTAATCCACCCAGCGTCACTTGCCTGCTATACGGGGGGGTGGTGGTGGGGGTTCTGGGTGTAGCTATCGGGATTTTAAACAATTCATCAAAAAAAAGAAATTCAATCATATCAACAACACACGTAAATATATGTAGTGACGTATATTGAGTCACTACGGCATTTAGCGCCAGCTACTGAGAGAAGAGTGCAACTGTGCGTGTTAGAGCCTCTCTCTGGCACCACAGTAGGCATGGCATGGAAGGGGGCCCTAGGGGGCATGGTTCTGGTGACAGTCAGAGAGAGGGCAGTTGAGGACGTGACAGTCTGGGTGAACCCGAGAGGGCACGTGACCAGGACAGGATAATGAGGAGGGCCAGAAGGTAGCGAGAGGGACACGTGATATATTGCCCAGAACCTTCTGGTAGGATCTAGAAGGGGGTGTGGCCGAGGGCGGAGCCAGGCCATGCTCAGGGGCATAAAAGGGAAGTCCCGAGAGCCGATCGAGGCTGTCTGTTGGAATGGAACTCATCGGTGCTGCGTCTCTTCGATCCTCGGTCTTCGGTCTTTACGCTCGGCATCGTGGGTCAGGCAGTGCGTTACTGACTGACCCGGTTATGTAGTTACCCCGTTGTGGTCTAGTTAACCAGTGTACGTTTATGTAGTTACCCTGTTTGGGTGCGAGAACAAACGTGTTGCCTCCAAGTTAAAGTGTGTGCCACCGTGGAACCCACTATATATATACAAGGAAAGTTGATTGCTTATTACAGTGAGGGAAAAAAATATTTGATCCCCTGCCGATTTTGTACATTTGCCCACTGACAAAGAAATGATCAGTCTATATTTTAATGGTAGGATTATTTGAACTGAGAGACAGAATAACAAAAAGAAAATCCAGAAAAACGCATGTCAAAAATGTTATAAATTGATTTGCATTTTAATGAGGGAAATAAGTGTTTGCCTGTCAATCAGAAAGATTTCTGGCTCCCAGGTGTCTTTTATACAGGTAACGAGTTGAGATTAGGAGCACACTCTTAAAGGGAGTGCTCCTAATCTCAGCTTGTTACCTGTATAAAAGACACCTTTCCACAGAAGCAATCAATCAATCAGATTCCAAACTCTCCACCATGGCCAGGACCAAAGAACTCTCCAAGAATGTCAGGGACAAGATTGTAGACTTACACAAGGCTGGAATGGGCTACAAGACCATTGCCAAGCAGCTTGGTGAGAAGGTGAAAACAGTTGGTGCGATTATTCGCAAATGGAAGAAACACAAAATAATTGTCAATCTCCCTCGGCCTGGGGCTCCGTGCAAGATCTCACCTCGTGGAGTTGCAATGATCATGAGAACGGTGAGAAATCAGCCCAGAACTACACGGGAGGATCTTGTCAATGATCTCAAGGCAGCTGGGACCATAGTCACCAAGAAAACAATTGGTAACACACTACGTCGTGAAGGACTGAAATCCTGCAGCGCCCACAAGGTCCCCCTGCTCAAGAAAGCACATATACATGCCCGTCTGAAGTTTGCCAATGAACATCTGAATGATTCAGAGGACAACTGGGTGAAAGTGTTGTGGTCAGATGAGACCAAAATGGAGCTCTTTGGCATCAACTCAACTCGCCGTGTTTGGAGGAGGAGGAATGCTGCCTATGACCCCAAGAACAACATCCCCACCATAAAACATGGAGGTGGAAACATTATGCTTTGGGGGTGTTTTTCTGATAAGGGGACAGGACAACTTCACCGCATCAAAGGAAGGATGGACTGGGCCATGTACCGTCAAATCTTGGGTGAGAACCTCCTTCCCTCAGCCAGGGCATTGAAAATGGGTCGTGGATGAGTATTTCAGCATGACAATGACCCAAAACATACGGCCAAGGCAACAAAGGAGTGGCTCAAGAAGAAGCACATTAAGGTCCTGGAGTGGCCTAGCCAGTCTCCAGACCTTAATCCCATAGAATATCTGTGGAGGGAGCTGAAGGTTCGAGTTGCCAAACGTCAGCCTCGAAACCTTAATTACTTGGAGAAGCTCTACAAAGAGGATTGGGACAATATCCCTCCTGAGATGTGTGCAAACCTGGTGGCCAACTACAAGAAACGTCTAACCTCTGTGATTGCCAACAAGGGTTTTGCCACCAAGTACTAAGTCATGTTTTGCAGAGGGGTCAAATACTTATTTCCCTCATTAAAATGCAAATCAATTTATAACATTTTTGACATGCGTCTTTCTGGATTTTTTGCTGTTATTCTGTCTCTCACTGTTCAAATAAACCTACCATTAAAATTATAGACTGATCATTTCTTTGTCAGTGGGCAAACGTACAAAATCAGCAGGGGATCAAATACTTTTTTTCCTTCACTGTATGCCGTGCAATTATACCTTGGTCCCTTGCCATGGTGGTAATATGCACCAAAGTTGGCCGTACTTAAATAATGAAGACAATCAGCATGGTGCAATGGGGATGTCGTCAGCTTTTTGACGTCTACCATCTCGAGCGGCGCGCTCCTCCGAAATCAGCGCTCGCAGCTGACAAGGCAACTTCGCGCAATTGTCTGCTCTTTCGCACAGCCTATGGCAGCCTCCACACTCGTTAGGGGCCTGGCCTCTGCAGACAATGCCCTCGGAGATGCTGCTCTTAACGACAGCAACAACGACGATGACAAAAGAGGGTTTAAAAGTTGCGAATTTTGCTCACCTGCTAACGCCTTCACTCCCTTACTCACTTCCTCAACGATTCACTTACTTATAACATCACTCAGTGAGTGAAGGTGTCCTAACGCTCACTCACGCTGCTCTTATCTCTCCTGGTGGGTGGGTGAGTGACTGGGTGGGTGAATGAGTGATTGAGTGATTCGACTGAGTGAGTGGCTGAGTGAGTGAACAGCTGAGTGAGTGGGCGAGTCAACGTATGGGATAGCGATTGGGTGGATGGGCGAGTGGGAGAGTGAGCCAGTGATTAGAGTGTGCATGAGTGGGTAAGTTAGCGAGTGGTTGACTAAGTGGGAGAGCAAGCGAGCAAGTGGGTGGTTGAGCGGGCGGAGAGTTGAGTGGGTGGGTGGGTGGTTGAGCGGGTGGGTGGTTGAGCGGGTGGGTGTTTGGTTGAACGGCTGGGTGGTTGAACAGGTGGATGGGTGGTTGAGCGGGTGGGTGGTTGAGCAGGCGGATCAGTGGTTGAGTGAGCGAATGGATGAGCGACTCAGAAAGTGAACAGGAAAAACAAATTGAACAAAATGATGTTTTTTTGTGCAGCCATCAGCGACCGGGCCGTAGCCACGTGCTCGCCCCACGTGCGAGCGCGTGCCGCGCTGCGTCGCTCACATTGGGTGCTGACGTTGTGCGTGTCCAGGAAGGTGCCCTGGTCGTCGATGAGGGTCAGGCTCTGGTCGCCGTAGCCGCGATCCATCGAGTTCACCATGTGCGTCATCTCCTGCCGCGTGGCGCTCACATTCTCCTTGCGCTTCTTCGCCAGTTTTCTGCGTGAAGGGGATCAGAGACCGGTGAGCAACGGACGCGGGCAACGGGAAGAGCGCCGGCGGCGGCGTGCGGCTGGGCATGCCGCAATGCCGCGACACAGCGTCGGGTATTACAAGCGGCAGCACCGATTCGCTAGCCGAGGAATAAATAAAAGATGTGACGCCGTTCGTAACAGAGCATTATAAGTAGTGATGGAAATCACAGACGCATTGATTCCTTGTTAATATTATTGATATTGATTGGATTAGTGTTGCTTCTTAAACTCTCGATACATGTATGAATATGCTCGTGCAAGAATCAATTGTTTTTTGATTGGCACATGTCGTATGTAATCGGGCTCGTGTCACCTCGGCAGCCACTGAAGTCGCTACCATTCACAGACTTAAATAAAATAATCGATTCTCGAACCGTGACAATCCCACAATTCGGCAGGAGTGGTGCTGAGGAGCGGAGGTGTAGTTCGTTGTATTCTACCGCTCATGATAAGTAATTAATTTATGCTCTGTTTCTGCCTTCACCTCACGAATAGCACACCAAACAAAACGGTTGTTCCTTGGAGACAAGGCCGTCACGCTACGTGGGCCAGGTTGCTTGATTATCTTACTCTGCCACGGGGTAGACATTGTGTACTAGTTTCTGTATTAAAGTGCTCATAACATGACTGGGAGACGCCTCACTATTCCAAAAGGTCTTCAACGTGACCAACATAACATTGATAAGGTCGATGCATTACACATTCATTAAAACACACTTACAAATGTAAGTTCCATCCAGGGCTGGGATGCAGCATGCTAAATTAAATTTAAAATGAGCCACAGTAGCGTGATTGTGGCCACGCAACCCAAATCATGGGCCGCACAGTAACCCATCTGTGGTCTGCGCTCCTTCAAGAGAGGAGGAGGAGGAACAGCGACATGACACGAACTCTCTCTCTCTCTCCACTGAAATTCTATCGTCCTTGCCAGCAGCAGCAGCAGCAGGACCTCGACATTGAGCTCCTGAACCACATCGCTGCTGCCATCGTGCGCAGGCATAGGACAGCCGGCAGTATATTTTGACACATTTGTTTCAAGTAATGACATTCTCGTATTATGTTCATTTATGGCAAAGTTTGGTCATTTCGTTGCATCTGTACTTTAATAAAAGAGCAGATGATCAAGTAAGTATTGTTCCATTAACTTACCTCATGACCATTTCCCTTTTTCAATAGAGCCTTTAAATTTGCACACATCTCGTGACAAATCACGACTTGAAAACAAACACCCCAATCAATCGCTATTCCACAAGAGGCACACGGGCGAGCTCTTCCAGCGCTGTGGGATGAGAGTGGCCACGTGCATGGTGAACGCGATGCAGTACTTCTCAGACGGAGTGAGCCCCGCCACGTGTGGCACTTCGCTTACAATATAAATAACCGTTAACTCAGGGCCTCCCGCGGTGTTCCACACACTTCTATAATTTCAACCTTCCAAAAGGTTACAAGGCAGGGGAAGCTACGGTGCGTGTAATTAGAATTTCCAACGTCTTGTACGGCACAGCTAAAGCATTTCTAAAGCATTCCAGAACATTAAAATATAAATGCTAACAAGAAAACTTTACAACGTGTCTTTTTTTCAACAATACATCCCATCTTGGCGATTGTAATTCACAATTTTATAACTTAAGGGTACCCTCAGCTCGCCCTGAATTTTTATAATATGGCTTCATTTACATTTCGCTTGCATTTTAAAACACACAGACACAGCAGCTCCCGCACCGCTTACTCTCCACTTCTTATTAAATATTGCGGCAGTGCCGGCGGAGGTAGCGCCCACAGAACCTAACTCAACGATGTCCTTCTCAATTATGCAGATGTCAGATTCGACGTGAAAAAATAGGTACGATGCCGTCTGCATCCAAAACATCCCCGCCGGCGTCTCCAGTTCGATGCAGAGGGCGCGAGACCGGGCCACAGCACCTCACCGGGCCATCACGTCCTGGCCCAGTGTTGCAGAGGTTCCCAGTTACAAGCTAGTTGAATATCACCGGGGGACGATTCAGAGCATGACTCTGCGCCGTCTGGTTTACGGTGGACGCTAGAGATCACGTGACGTCACTCGAAAAGCAGTAGGCCATGTGTGCAGGCGTCGTGGTCCGAAAATATATTTATACAAAATATAAAAAAATACTCGCAAACTACTTAAATGGGTAAACCCACACACAAACATCGCTCACTACTGGGAAACTAAACCTGTCTGTAAAATACAGCCTTGCATAATACCAATGGCAGTGAATAGCAAAAGTGATTATAATGATTGATCGTCTCCCAGAACAGGTCCTGCCCAGAGCCCGTGCAGCTCCTCTCGGAGCCCGGGCATCATCATCATCATAACTGAATATTCACACCGTGCCTCCCACGCACTATACCTCGAGGTGACTGACAGCAGGGGACCCCCCTCCCTCACTGGCAGCTGTCCCTATGTGGCACAAGGTGAATGCAGCATTGGCCTGCAAGAGGGTATTAGTCTAGTCTGGCAGCAGGGGGCCATGTCACTTACGTGACTTTTCCAAATAAAGCAATTTGAATATTTTCCTAATTTGGAAACTTTGTACCACGACGCTGGCACACGTCGGCCTGGTCTTTTTAAAAAAATGTGAAGGAGACAGCGCAACTGTCTGATTGACAACACCTGCAAGTATTATCTAGGCTGGCCGCTAGGTTCAAACCACGAACCTCTGAAACAAGCGGCAAACGCGCTCGCTACCTGGCCACTGCTCCCGGTTGCCTGGCCCTCGTGACACCAATGCACCCTCCCCAGCTCTGCTGCTCAGCGTGTTGGCCACAATATTTTGGGAGTAGACACGAGCTGTCTAGGAGAATGTATCGTTGAGGTGGTTAATGGCTTGAAACGCTCCGATTCCGAGCCCTGAACACATTTAAGTGAGAGAGCAACCCCACAAAAAGCCATGGTCCTGCCATTAAACAATCCCGTGAGCACAAGCCTGAGCACACTTTGCGCAGCTTGGAATAATGGTGCGTGTGTCAGTGCCTAGATGACAGCAGATGTTGGCTATTAACACACACCCAGCATTCATTAAGAATGCACCCACATAATGGGTAACCCTCTCTGAAATATATCAGCAGGCAGCACGCTGGTGTCACGTTAGCCATGCTCAGAAGTTCCGTGGTGCCAAAGTACACAGCACCTTTGCCTAGGGAATGATCTTCAACATTTTCCTGTCCATAGCCGGTCGTGAGCCTTAAATCTGCCACATCTCTGTGGGCTCAACTGGGACACATGGCGAGCCGGTAGCCCCTGCCACTGTTAGCCCCGCACACTGCTTGGGTAGCCCCACCAACTTTGTTAGCCCCACCCACGATGTTAGCTCCACACACTACACAGGTAGCTCCGTCCTTGACCCACACAGCACATGGAACACGAGGACATAATGTTTTAAACTGGGGTCAAAAATCCCGATTTTTGCTCAAGCCACAGGACAGACTTTTTCACACCCGAAATGTTCCAGCCATCTCAGTATTTTGTCCCACAAGGCACGGGGGAGAATCGTACTCTAGACTGCGGTATGCATAATTTTTTACCCTTACAGCACTGTAATTCTCATTAAATTTGGACAGAGTAACAGAATAACAGCAATAGAGACTCATCTTACTAAATGCCTTATTTCATTGGGAAATACTCTAGGATTTACGCTTTAAACTAAGATAACCAAAACTCCACAGTGAGCTGCTGTCTGGCCTGTGTGGGAACGCACGTGGGGAACCGTCAATTAATCTGTGGCCGGAAGGAGTTTTCGTGTGGCTCTCCTCTCCTTGTAGATTGCTCTGAACACCACTGTGCAATTACTCGCTCAGGTCTCAGACGGCACACGTGCGGAGACGGTGGTCTCTCACGGAGACGGTGGTGCCTCTCACGGAGACAGTAGCCTCTCACGGAGACGGTGGTCTCTCATGGAGGCGGTGGCCTCTCACGGAGACGGTGGCCTCTCACGGAGACGGTGGCCTCTCACGGAGACGGTGGTCTCTCACGGAGACGGTGGCCTCTCACGGAGACGGTGGCCTCTCACGAAGACGGTGGTCTCTCACGGAGACGGTGGCCTCTCACGGAGACGGTGGTCTCTCACGGAGACGGTGGCCTCTCACGGAGACGGTGGTCTCTCACGGAGACGGTGGTCTCTCACGGAGACGGTGGCCTCTCACGGAGACGGTGGCCTCTCACGGAGACGGTGGTCTCTCACGGAGACGGTGGCCTCTCACGGAGACGGTGGTCTCTCACGGAGACGGTGGTCTCTCACGGAGACGGTGGCCTCTCACGGAGACGGTGGCCTCTCACGGAGACGGTGGCCTCTCACGAAGACGGTGGCCTCTCACGGAGACGGTGGCCTCTCACGGAGACGGTGGCCTCTCACGAAGACGGTGGTCTCTCACGGAGACGGTGGTCTCTCACGGAGACGGTGGTCTCTCATGGAGACGGTGGCCTCTCACGGAGACGGTGGCCTCTCACGGAGCCGGTGGTCTCTCACGGAGACGGTGGCCTCTCACGGAGACGGTGGTCTCTCACGGAGACGGTGGTCTCTCACGGAGATGGTGGTCTCTCACGGAGACGGTGGTCTCTCACGGAGACGGTGGCCTCTCACGGAGACGGTGGCCTCTCACGGAGACGGTGGCCTCTCACGGAGACGGTGGTCTCTCACGGAGACGGTGGCCTCTCACGGAGACGGTGGCCTCTCACGGAGACGGTGGCCTCTCACGAAGACGGTGGTCTCTCACGGAGACGGTGGTCTCTCACGGAGATGGTGGCCTCTCACGGAGGTGGATCGTGGGGATGGGGTAATTGCCACCTCCTTAGAGACCTCGACAATGTGGAATTTATTGACGTTTCCCAGTTTCTAGATCTGCCTCTGGCCTGTCGTCCGTTAAAAGCACTCCAACGTCAAAATGCGAACGCATCCGGACATCCTGTCCAGCACGATGCAGAGCCTCGTCACTCGCCGTACAAATGGGACGACGAGTCGGGCAGGTCAGACCCCTCTCCCCCGGGACGTCACCGGGTACAGATATAATTATGATCAGCTGCGGCCGCTTCTGTTGCATTCCCCAGCAAAGGATCTGCAGAGCCGCGCAAAGACTCGCGGCCGCAGAGATTACATGTCAACGGTGCGACAAGAACGCCGCACTCCGAGCACACTCGGTCTCATATTGGAAGCGAACTGTGCCGCAATGAGCCTTTCGACAGCCGCGCTAAGCCCTGCTCGGGAACAGAGAGGATTACCGTGGCTAATTAAAACAAATCGCTGCACAAATTGCACGTTTGCGGTCCAGAACGACGCTTCTGGCACGCGCGCGCCCAGTCCCCCCCACCGCCCCGACGTCAGCTGGGTAGAGGCCGCCGCTAACGTCACGTCAAGGGATCAGCTGCTACAGGTAAGCCTGAGCCAGCTGCCAGCCCGGCCCTTACCTGGGCTAGGGTAGCCTCCTGTCCTGGTTTTCCCAGTGTTCGTCTGTTGCGTAATGCTATACCACCCAAAACAAAGCGTATCGATAGAGTTTTCCCCTCTTCCGATATTGTGAGATATTCCTCTTCCCATTCGTGTTTCCTGAATTTTTGTAGCTCAGGCGGTGGCAACCCTGACTGCACAGGTGCATTGCGCCCTTCAATGTTTCTTTTTTCCGACAAAGTAAAAGTAGATGCTAAATAATAAAACGAGCGACACGCACTGCGGACACGCAAGCCTTGGCTCAATAGGCAGACAGACAGCAGAAATTTAAATGTTATGCGCAGCAGCAAATCAAAACAGGGAACATAAAAACGTGAATTAGTTGGATGTGGGAGGGGGTGGTGAGCAGGGTGGATATGAGATTGTTTTTTTGTGCACTGTTACTTACAAGTAATAGGAGTAAGAATGGGAGCTCCGCCTGTGAAGGGTGAGAAAGCCATGTGAAGAGAAGCGTGAGGACATCAGCGTCAATGTCATCCGTCCACAGATGAGTAACAAAAAAAATATTCAAGCTGCATGGAATGACCGAGCAATTCGAGACGTTAACACAAATATGCGCACGTGCACGTGCTCGCCATGCCCAGAGGCGGGTGGGCGCAGGCACCCGCGCCACGAGCGCCACACGAAGGTCCCGCCACCACGCGGCCAGCGAGCGGTCACGCGTTTGTCGGCGGGTTGTTTTGTCAAGTCTCAGCAAGCCGGGTGCAGTAAAAGGGTTAAATTAGACGCTTAGCAATTGAGATGCCACAAGAGAAATTCTCATTAAAAATAAATAAAACACTGCGTATGCGTTGTTATTATAATTTAGGAACTAATGCATACACGTGCACTTTTTTAGGGTACCAATATTCCGGGTTTAATTTCAGCCGGAGCTGGCCGGGGCTCAGGTCCAGAAAATAATTCCCCGCTGCAGGTTGGGGGTTGGTGGGGTTGGAGGGTGGGGGGGCGGTGAAGTCTTAGCAGCTGGGGGCTTTGCAGGGCCCCGGAAGAATATCCCATGAGAAATTAATCCCGAGCGTGTTAGTGTTAATACGGCCGATGGCAGCATTCGCGCGGCTCTCTTAGCGGAGAGGGAGGCACTGATTACCTGCTGCAATGCTTCACTGGCCAATGTGCCGGCTTCACTGGCCAAGTCCCCCTAGGGGGATAAGTACAACGCCTCGCGGAGCAGTGTGCGGACTGCGGTGCGCGTGGTGGGTGCGGAGTGCGTCTCGTCACACCGGCCGCAGCACACGGCCCACCGCCTGGTATCGAGCACGGGACGCGCAAGCGAACTTGGCGTGTGTGCGAGTGCGCGTGTGTGTGTGTGTGCGTGCGCATGTGTGTGTGCGTGCGCGTGCGTCGGCGTGGTGAACGGTGGCTCAAGTGTTCGCGAACTGCGCAACGAACCCAGCGACCTGAGTTTAATTCACGCTCACGCCCTCCCCTAGGTCGACTCAGCCTCAAATGAGTACCTGCTGCGGTGTGTAAGCATCAGAATTATGGATACAAAGGCAGCCGGGCGTGGTGCTGGCCACCCACCCGTTCGTACGCCATATCGGCCTTCATAGCTGCCCGTTAACAGCACTTGCCCCAACAGTCCAAAAGGCTATACGGGGGCTCTTTGTCCTTGTGTGAGCATGGACCCAGTGGCAATGTTGTCTGCAAATTCAGGTTTGATGCCCTCCCTGGCACTGGACAGGATTCGTGAAACAAACCCAAATCAACAACTGTGATCACTCTGTGACCGATGAGGTGATGATGAGAGGATGCCAATTATTTACCCAGGGAAGCCTCACGGAGTCTCAGGACTATTTCTTTCACGTGGGTCCTCTTTACGGTTTTCCCAGGATCGTCATCTCATTTAGGAAGCTGTCAGAAAACATCTAAGTCTCATGGGAGTATTAAAAGTCCAGTTTTTTGTCGTTTGTTTAACTATACACTGCTCAAGGCAATGCATTTACATGTAGTCTTCCCCTCTTTCGGCCATGTCAGCTTTTCCTCTTCACATGATAATGGGCCAGGTATTTTGTACCCCCGGAGGTGGTGACCCGAGTCCTGCAGAAGTCACAAAACTCAGGAGGGTCCTGCTACAACGGGAGTTTGGCCAGTGAGCGTTTGCTTTGGCAACACTCAACACCGCCATCTTCTAACCACAACGCAGCCCCACACCTCCAACATTCGGCAAGCCCCGGTGCAGGTCGCCCATCCATTTGGGAACCAGGATCGACCCCGCTTAGCTTGTGAGATCCAAGGAGATCGGGCGCATTCAGGGTGACTTTGTCGAAGGCAAAGGCATGTCCACGTGAAAATTATTAATATGTTCAACGTTCCGCTTTTCCACAACAAAGAGCTTCATATCGCGCCCGGCTCAGTCTGACGCGGACACCAACGCCCAGACGCTCGTCCAGTCCGCAATGCCAGATGCACTCCTGAAAAGCATCGCCTTTATGTTTACAAGGCACCATGCCATGTTATTAAACATCCCAATGAAAGACCTCGTGGTTTATAAAGCGCAAGTGCCTCTTGCACAGTGATGGCGCACACGTGACTGCGCATCAAAGGCAGCGTTCAAAGAGTACGATTGGCTTGCCACAGTCAAAGGGACTGCACTCCGAGTCTCTGTATCATATCGGCCTCTGTGTTCGTACCGACAGTCAAGGGTTTAGCGACGCTCACAGAGCTAGCTATTCTTGATGTGGAATAATGGAGGGAGGCACGCGCGGTGCCTCAAACTCACGGAGGATGATCCGGAGCGAAGCTCGCTCCCAGAAAAGTCTGGCACCGACGTTTGGAAAACATTGGGGCCCCCCCATTGCAGAAGGAAAGACCAAAGTGGCACAACTGCACAACAGTGTCGCCAATCGAGGCCATAAAATCTACCAGCGTAAGCAATTAACCTGTCTTCATGATATAATTAGCGAATGTTGCAAACGCATGGGCAGCTACACTCTTAAAGAGCAGTGGTGTTCATAGGCACCCATGTAAACAGCCAATGGGCATTGACACGAGTGGCTATCCACCTGAATCTCATCAGCAGACACCATGTCGTTTTTCACTCAACGTTGTCTATGCTTTTGTATCACCGTAGAACTTCTCTTATCCATGGCAATATGGGGGTCGAATATCGCAGATCCTATTACCTATGGGGTTATGCTGAAATTTACTCCACTTATCCTCAGGAAATGTCAGTTAATTGTGGATAATAGGAAAAAATCCAATTAACTCGTTCTAACCTTGAAAAATTAGCAAATTTGAGTTATGATCTAATATCCCAAAGTGCATTCTGGGAAAAAAATTAAGTAACCCATGGGAAGTGGGACAAATTCGTTGAGCGACTTCTTTTATGCACCAAAAATGTGCGTATAAAATGAATCTGGTTAGTAAAGCACGATGTGAAAACCCACAGATAAAACGAAGAATAGCACTGCGGATAATGAATTTTCGGGACAATACCGCTCTCAGAGATAACAGGAGTCGCAGGTCATAGGGTCGCAGAGAGGAGGAGCTCTCCTGCGACGATTTCACTGCCCACGCAGAGGCAATGCAGGTGAGCGCATGGCACAGTCGGACGGTGCGACCGTGCCACATGCTCGGAGCACGAGGGCCACTGGCGGACCGTGTGCTTCAGCCGCCAGAGCTCCGTTCGTGTGATCTAAGATCGGCGCCCGATACCCTTGACAACAAACACTGGCGCTGCCTCTGTGTTCGCTGGGCCTCGACAAGAATGAGAGGAAGTGCACAGGTTAAGAGCGGGGACTCGCGTCTATTAAAAGGTCCACGCGCTCTCAGTCGGCCCACGTTGTCGCAAGATAAATGCCGGTCACCCCGGGGCGGCAGGGTCACACAGTTCAAGTAATGATTCTCTGTTCCTGAGCAAACCGCCGCGCAAATAAAGGTGCGTCCATTACTACAGGGAGCACACACACGCACACACAGCCCACCACGCGAGTGGAGAGAGAGAGCTTTTCAGCGAGAGCTATGCAGGACACACAAAGAGGACCGATTCATTCTCACAAGCGGCGCTTTGTTGACCGCAGAGAGCGCTCCGTGGTTGCGCGCGTCAGGGAGGTGCGGGTGTGGAGTGCGCCGCTCCCACGCGGAGCGCGGTGCGGCGCACCGAGCGGCTGTCACGGTGCAATCGGCCCGCTCGTACGTTTATCCGATTGTTGTCTACGCGGCCCGCTGGTACGTTTCCCTAAACGGGGCTCTGACGGCAGTGGCTTGTGCGTTGCGCAACCCACTCGTTACAGACACCTGAATAAGAAGCCAGGCTGGCCAGCTTGGTGAAGTATGGTCAAGCAACCCTCCTCACGGTGTGGGGAGGCCTTCATCCAGTGGTGGATTTTAGTTTTGCATTATTATACCGTTATATCCTTCTTGTTGGTTCTGGGTCATCAACATTAGAGCCATTGTTGTGTTGAAATAACTTTCTTTGTCATAATTTAAAACAGTTTATTAAATTAATAAGATAATGAAACATGTAAATAACTAAAGGATGCGTTCATACAAATGAAACATCGTAATAATTACAATGAAAACAACGCTATTATGTCCGCGCATTGCTGATAAATGAACGCCAATGCGCACACCAGGCCAAGCACAATCGTGCGATCGCGCTATTGAGCACAGATAGATGTTTGTAACAAAACAATTAAACCATGATAATTGCACCGAGCCAGGACACAAAGCTGGCGAGAAGCAGGCAGGGCGGGCTGTTAACTTGTGACGATGCTCCTGGAGTTAACACGCGGGCCACAGGGCAGCAGTCACACACGAGCTTGAGGAGGAGCACGTACCAAGAGGGCTCTCTCGATAGGAGTGGGGTCCTTGAAAACACAGAGACATTCGCCTAAAAGCTGTGGCAAGATCTAGGGGAGGAAGAAAGGCAGAAGTGGACCCCAGGGTTGCATTATTTGCCGAATGAAATCATTTACGCCGCCAGCTGTCAATAATCTTCAACCGAAGGGAAATCTCGAGGTCACTTGAAGGAATCACAAGTGTAGTGCTGTGATCTTCTTGGTTCTTTCGGTAAAGTAACGTAGAATTGAAATAAAATAATAAAAATAAAACATAATAAAATAACAATTCTCACGACGTTTTGGCCACAACACAAGTAGCCTTCCTCAGGTGAAGAGACAGAACTGTCGGGAAGACAGCGCTTCAGTGAACACAGCCAAGCTTCGGCCGCGTCTTTTAAGCTGGGTGGGAGGAGCAGAGCGCCTTGACCAAGGAGTTTACATATCAACAGAAGAATTTAGCATTGAAGCAGCTATGTTAATGTTTGGATTAGCATGATGTTAAAGTCAGAAATTATCATGTAACTGGGGGATTAGCATGATGTTAGTGTGAGGGATTAGCATGTAACTATGTTGGAAAAAGTGGCGGTTTCTTTTTTTCTTTTCAACGTTAGCACCACTGTGGTTAGCACCACGAAAGCGACGAGCTTTGTTCAGACGGACGAGTCCATCTATGCTTGGAACGGAGGAGGGGGGAGAGAAGAAACAGCAACGATGCGCTTCTCTGTCCTGTGTTGCGTTACTACTATGCTACAAACTAGACTACTCTACATTACAATATTATACCTTCCAATCTAAACTACATTGTATAATATCGTATACACAGCCCAATGTAAGCTCTAAATTACACGACTATACACCTTAATATACACTGCCATAGACAAACCCCACTCTTGAATTATACAATGCGTTACTATACACTACCCTATACTATAGACTATAAAATATTAGACTTGTAATATTACACTATGCATTATTCTACCAACCCTACTGTGTACCACACTGCTGTATATTCACTATACAATTACGATACTATATATTGCCTTATGAATTATGTTAAACATTACACTGTTATACTATATTATGATTATAAAACATGCTATAAACCATACCATTGACCGTCGTGTGAAAGGTACTAAGAGGCAGTGCCAGCGAATGGACTGCGGTCTGAAAGTCACCATAAAATAACAATCAATCAAGAACCGAAATGGCTTATAACGTCCTTCCAATGGTTACTAAGCCAGAATCCATCTTCTCGGTTGAAATTGTCTCTGTGTTTGTATATGTGGATGGCCTCATCAAGACTCTATACCATAGAGCCCAATGCATCTCCGACCGGGAACACATTGCCAGTGAACTCAAGCACGTACACCAAGCTCTCAAGGCTAATGGTTACTCCGACTACACAATCCGCAAAGCCATCACTCCAATCATGAAGAAGAATCCTCTTGAGGAGCCATTCAAAACCATCACTTTACCCTACATTGCGGGGGGTCACAAAAAAGATCTCCAAAATCCTGAATAAACACAAGATCCAGGTCCGATTTAACACAGTACATAAAATCCGTGATCTGGTTCTGTCGGTAAAAGATGTGGTTCCAGACATACAGTACCCGGGCGTCTACAAACTAAGTTGCCTCTGTGGTAGCAGCTATATTGGAGAAACCAAACGACATACCTCGGATCGCATCCGTAAACATAAAGTAGACTTGAAACACGGTAGGATGAACACCTCAGCCGTGGCAGACCACTGTTATAATTCAGTAGGCTCACATGACATTGACTCTCCAAGACGGAGGTTCTCTGCAAGCCATCCGGCTACCAAGAGAGATTCGTTCATGAGGCCATCCACATATACAAACACAGAGACAATTTCAACCGAGAAGATGGATTCTGGCTTAGTAACCATTGGAAGGACGTTATAAGCCATTTCGGTTCTTGATTGATTGTTATTTTACGGTGACTTTCAGACCGCAGTCCATTCGCTGGCACTGCCTCTTAGTACCTTTCACACGATGGTCAATGGTATGGTTTATAGCATGTTTTATAATCATAATATAGTATAACAGTGTAATGTTTAACATAATTAATAAGGCAATATATAGTATCGTAATTGTATAGTGAATATACAGCAGTGTGGTACACAGTAGGGTTGGTAGAATAATGCATAGTGTAATATTACAAGTCTAATATTTTATAGTCTATAGTATAGGGTAGTGTATAGTAACGCATTGTATAATTCAAGAGTGGGGTTTGTCTATGGCAGTGTATATTAAGGTGTATAGTCGTGTAATTTAGAGCTTACATTGGGCTGTGTATACGATATTATACAATGTAGTTTAGATTGGAAGGTATAATATTGTAATGTAGAGTAGTCTAGTTTGTAGCATAGTAGTAACGCAACACAGGACAGAGCAGCGCTTCGTTGCTGTTTCTTCTCTCCCCCCTCGTCCGTTCCGAGCATAGATGGACTCGTCCGTCTGAACAAAGCTCGTCGCTTTCCGTGGTGCTAACCACAGTGGTGCTAACGTTGAAAAGAAAAAAGAAACCGCCACCTTTTCGGACACAGTTCTGACATAGTTACATGCTAATCCCTCACACTAATATCATGCTAATCCCCCAGTTACATGATAATTTCTGACTTTAACATCATGCTAATCCAACATATTAACATAGCTACTTCATTGCTAAATTCTTCTGTTGATATGTAAACTCCTTGGTCAAGGCGCTCTGCTCCTCCCACCCAGCTTAAAAGGTGTGACCAAAGCTTGGCTGTGTTCACTGACGCGCTATCTTCCTGACAGTTCTGTCTCTTCACCTGAGGAAGGCTACTTGTGTTGTGGCCGAAACGTCGTGATAATTTTTATTTTATTATGTTATATTTTTATAATTTTATTTCAATTCTACGTGACTTAACCAAAAGAACCAAGAAGATGAATCCCTGCAGTCACGAAAGCTTTAAATCGAAATTTAGTGCTGTGATATTCGCTTCCTCGGACCGTTCTTTAACACGAAGGGAAGCACTGTTTCAGCGAGAGATCTAAACGGATACTCTCTCACTCTCTCATGACACCGACTGCAAAGAGGCCGAAAAATGGAGGGCAGTAAAAAAGATTAAAAAATAAAAACAGAAGGAAATTAATTTGCAGTTGCAATACAAGGGCACTGTGACCAAAATTCATTATCCCGATGGTAAGATTGTGGTGTAAGATTTGCCCAAACGTTAAGCAAAACGATAGCAATCTGGAGTGGCCGATGCATTATTAACGAGTCATTGTTGACGGGTCCTGTTCCTAGCGTGCATTGTAATTAGACTTCTTTATAGCAGAGCCAACACACGCAAGTGAAGAGAGAACATCGGTGAACATGGCGGTGGATCAATGGCTAAGAAGGGATAATTATCATTGTAAAACAGAGCACACTGCCAACACCGATTCTCTTGTATTTCCACCAGCTCTCCCTCTCTCACAGATAGCGCTGCATTCTAAAAAATGCACTTAGTATGTTAATATTGCATGAAACGCACTTTATTTTTAATAACTGCGGTAAATTTCAATAAAGTTGTTTACTTTAAATTACGCTCGCTCAAAGATGCGCTTTTTAATTTTAATCATCAATTCCCCACCCACTCCGGGTTGAATTAATAATCGCAGCGCAGTGGAACGTTTCCAAGCGGAAGCCGGGGGACTCGAGCGCAATCTTGAAAGGAGACGTGCACCTGATTTACATTTGCGGGTATTACCGTAAATGTCAGGCGAACTGATTAGAGGGCACCAACAGCTCATTAACGCCCGCTGAGCTTTCGCGCTAAATGTTACCATGTGAAGTGCCTTTATTTTCTGTTGCGCCGCAATGTGAAATAATAAAAACAGGTTTAAATGTCACCAATTCCATTACAGCTGTGGCTTCTTTATGCATCTTTTATTAGCGGGTGGTCTGGCGGTTCGCAGGCGGTGCTGTGAACCCGGCGGCGACCCCAGTTCAATTCCCTGCCACTGCCAACACGCGTGACGAGCGACATCCGAACTGCTCCCGAGTCTGCCTTCTCCAACCTGTACTGACCCACGTGGTGAAGTATGGTCAATCAGCTCCTATGATTGACCCAGCGTGGCTAGGTAGGTCTTCATCCAGAAGTGATTTTAAAAAGGGCCGTGTGCGAAGTTATTATTCATATATAGGATTGAATGCCACGATAAACAAATAACTTGTGCCCGTGGGTAAACTGCAAAATAAACTGGCTTCTCTTCGTTTGGGTTCCGTAAAGAACACCGAGCAACAAAAGTAGTTAAACACAGAATAATCTGAATATTTAGCAGAACACTTTTGAAAAACATGGACAAACAATTCTAGTTAATTCCAAACTCTATTGCATTGTAAAAAAAAAATGCCATTGCATACAATAGCAATAGCCAACAGGACCAGATGCAATAATATTGAGAAGGTATTCAATGAGACTTGAAATGCCCGGAGGTAAACCCACTCAATCTGGATTAAATTGTCTTCCCTCATGTTTAACACCACTGCACTCACGTTGTGGCTAAAATGATGCCCTCCTCTCTCAGCCAGGGATCCCATCCAGACAGAGAGCAGTCACTGTGGGTAACGCATGTGTGAGTGTGTGTAGCAACGGTGGAGCAGCTACTGTGGGTGTCCAACACAGCACCAACAATTAGAGGTAAGGCTAAAAGACACCCACAATTATTTTTAACAAAAATCACAGTATTTATGCCATTCACTAATGATGGTTACGCCGAAGATGGGACCTTTAAACACACAGTAGCAAGTGGACAGCAGACCAAGTACTGAAACAGTCGCCGGTAGCTGTGTAGGCCTAATACAGGTAGGGTGCTGTGCAGCTGAGCTCTCCTTATCCGCCATTAAGTGCGAGGCAAACTTCACAGATCCCCTCCGTAATCTACCCAGAAGCCTCCGGGACCCATTGGGTCCCACAGCGCGGCCGCGCCCCCGCGGCGAGAGGGCTCGCTCGTGAGGCGAGGCGCTCGGCCGGTGCGTGCCGCAAGCCCACCTCCGCTTCATGTAGACAACGATGCCCAGGAGGATGATGAGGACGGCCAGGATGCCGGCGATGACGCCGGCGATCTTCATGGTGTGGTCGGTCTGGAGCTCGGCGTCCGGAAGATCGGCGTTCCTCGTCACTGGCGGCGCGAACAGTACGGGGGTCACCGCTCTGGGGTCGCTGCTCGGCCGCTCGGCCTGCTGTCCCCACCGGCTGTGAGCGCCCCCATGGCACGGGCGGTGGGGGAGGGGGGGCGCCCTCCCTCCACTCCCAATGGCAGTCAAGTTCCACTGCTCTACTTAGCGCCAATGTCCTCTGCTAGCTCTACCCCCGGGAGCAGCCCTACAGACGTCATAACAGCTGGCTTTAACCGTTCTGATGCGAGTCTGTTCCAATAGAAGCTGCATGTTTACCTGTGATTTAAACCGTTACAGTATGCGTATTAAATAATATGCTTATCATAGTGCTTCGATCTGCGGCGTTGGATCTGACTGCCATTGCGATCGACGTATCCCACCCAGGTCTCCGTTGAAAAAGTGGCGACTGCTCACAAAGGGCCCTCTTCACCTGCTCTTAAATAAGAGAAACATCTTGTACCCTCTTCTTGGTTCTTTCGGTAAAGTCACCATGTAGAAGGGAAATAATAAAATAATAAAAATAAAACATCATAAAATAAAATTCTCACGGCGTTTCGGCCACAACACAAGTAGCCGTCCTCAGGTGAAGAAACAGAACTGTCGGAAAGACAGTGCTCCAATGAACACTGCTAAGCTTGGCAGCATATTTTAAGCTGGGTAGGAGAAGCAGTGTTCATTGGAGCGGTGTCTTTCCGACAGTTCTGTTTCTTCACCTGAGGATGGCTACTTGTGTTGTGGCCGAAACGTCGTGAGAATTTTATTTTATTATGTTGAATTTTTATTATTTTATCATTTCCCTTCTACGTGACTTTACCGAAAGAACCAAGAAGATGAATCCCTGCAGTCACGAAAGCTTTAAATCGAAATCTTGTACCCTCTGGATAAAACTGACATTTACCCGACACCGACTAAACCGGAGCCTGCAGGGGGAGAATGTTCTGTAACTCAGAGGGGTCTCAATTCTATCTTGCTTCTCTTAACCCTTCAATTCCCGTCGCATGCGCATGGCTGTTGTACAAGCGAGCTAATTTATTCGTGGTATTAGCGAGCAAATTGGGCGTACCCTGAGGGAGCAGGGATGGTTAAAACGCAAATCATATTGTAACATTTCCACTTTTAGCCGAGCACAGTTCTGCCTTTCTTCCTCCCCCAGATGTTGCCAAACAATCAGTCGTGCCAAGGCAATGCGCCCACCACAGAGATGCAGCGACGGCTCTAGCTGACAGTTTAGAGATTGGCCTGCATTTAGACATTCACCTCTGCAAGTATCCCTCTCCTTAATAAAGAGCAAATATAGGTTTACTCCATTGGCCCATTGGCCTTCCACACCAATATTATCTGGCAGCATTTCAGCAACCAAACCCTGGACTAGTTTTATATTTTCTGGGTCTCATCAGCAGTCATGATTGTTTAACAAATGTCACTGGGATACAACATGTTATTGGCAAGGGCACTCCATCTAAACAAAATAGGGCACGATTAAAGTAAACAAAAATACGTATTTATTGTTTAAAACTAATTATGCATTTGTGTTGAGCATCTATTTATCAACATCATGTTTGTACTTTGCCGGCGCAGTGAGACTTGGGTGGCTAATGCACAGGTCAGGGACTCGAGAATGCGTTACGGCACGCATCGGTGGACTGCAGACATCTGCGGCCAAGTTGTTAAATCCCCGCTGAAATTCCACCAATTAAGTTGCCAAAGATGCCGTGATCACACCGATCCGTTACCATGGATGCAGCCAGCGGCATCGTCAAATGCCGAAAATATTTTGCCTGGCCTTTTGCCGTGGCGTTTGTAAACGGAGTGAGGAATGGCGGTAATTTGCACAACGAGCATGCGCGTTTGCTGGAATTTCAATCTTTTTATGTCGAGGCCTTGGTCACAAACAGGAAAAATCTGAAGACGAAAATGTTAACGAGCGCCCCAATTGCGCCACGTTGACCAACGTGCATTAATTCGCACACCGTACGCAGCTAAAACTGCCTTGCATGCACTGTGTATGTGTGTATGTGTGCACAAATGATGCATGGACACATGAGTATTGTACATGTGTGTGTTTTGAAATGTTAAATTGATTATTTAGTTTTTCTGCAGTCTAAATATAGCATTGTTACTGTTAGCGAATCAATTTGTGCCAATTTGGCCGCCAATTTGATGCAAGCACGCTAAATAGGACAACGCTGGCGCTTTTAAGACAGATCCATCAGGCTCGCGAACGCACATGGACACGTTCCACACCGCGGGCGAACAATTACTCTGGGCTGCTTCAAGTGCCTCCACGTACGCCATGTCAAGAGCCATTCCTAATGGCCTTGATCAACCGAGTTTAGTTTTTATTGCTGTCAAGTATAAATGCTAAACACTGCCGCTGTTGTGAATAAATCGGACGCGTGGATCGCAGCGTACGACGCTAGACGATCGCCATTTCGCCCGGCGCAGAACGTAAACGGAACGGCATCGGCGCGAAACGTGACGAGCCTCAGTTAGCCCGCTGCTGGTTACACGGCGATTACTAAGTCTACGCTGACAGACCCTCGCTCGTGCCATTGCCGCTCTTCCTTCGTGCGACTCGAGTTAACCCCTTCTGCATTCATAATTCAATAAATAACATTCTACCGAAACGAATCCTCACCAGGAACCTTTTGCTTCAACACTGAAAACTCTCGACTGCTTCCACCCTTCTGAGGCTCATCAGCAGTGACAGGCTCAATAAGCAAATGCCGATGCTCTAACAAATAATTATTGGCAAGTGGCGTCTCTCTACACTGTGGCTACAAAGACGAGAGCAGAAATCTAAAGAATATTTAATCTTTGCGCGGGGCATTGTAATCGGGCAGAGGCTCCCACGTTTGCACAAAATTGATCTTTTCTTGCCGCTTTCTGCCGTGCAGATGCCAAAGAACACTCCACTTTATTTATTTCCTTTCAATATTAATCTATAAATTAAATGTCATTCGTTTCGAAACTCCGTGTGGGGTAGGTGCTATGCGCCTACGCCTTATTTATTTTTATTTGGTAAACAAACTTGACCCGAGTGACTGGCAGCCTCTGAATTAGCAAACAGGCGCGCACCTTCACCGGCCTAATTTATTAAACGGCACAGACTGGCGGCTGTCAGCACCGCGCAGCTTTTGTCCGTGGCCTTTATTCCTCGGCTGTGTCAGCAATATTTTTGCCTAAATGATTGGCAAGTTTCGATTTTGATTGCCTGCTCTCCCCGCCAAAATATGACGCCTAACGAGTCATTTATATTTTGCGGTCCCGAGCACACCACTGCGCGCGCTCGTGGCAAATCGCGACGGGGCATAACGTAGCGTGGTTGGCATGGGCCTTGAAAGGAAATGCCACTCCCCCCCCCCCGCCTCCTCCTTCCCAAAGGCCAATTTCCCTCCTCGTCACTGCCCTGTGCGCACGGAGCACTCCGGCCCCGTGCGCCCCGGTGCAGTTGCACCGCCTGCACACTCGATAGCTACACCGCTGGACGCAAGTCAAACGAGGCAATGCAACACACACATATATTTAACGACGAAATCAAAACGTTTGGGGAAATTCCTTCAAAAGGGGAAGAACACGTGCAAGATGGGAATGGAAATGTGACATGTGTGGACGACATGCGAGGAAGGTAGTGGGGTTAGAGGGGGGAAGGGGGGGGGGTGGAGTCGTTCCGTGATGGGGAGTCGTTCATGACACAGGAAATAGCCGGACCAAGGGGAAGGAGCTCGGGGCCGCGGCGAGTGCGCAGGCAAAGTGCCGGCAGCGCGTGCGGCGGGGCAAACGGTGAGAAACCTCACCGTGGGATTCGCCACCAAAGGGCGCACGGAGCCCGACTCGTAATGGCCGGCACTCGCACCGCCAGGTTCAAGACTCGTGCGACTTTAAAGGGCCGGGCATTCGCAGCGACGTGCCGCCGTGCCACAGCCTCGGCCACGTGAGCCACGTTTTGTTTGAATCGCGACGAGAGAGTTTTGGTCGTGACAGAGGTTGCTGTTTGTTTACTTATTTAGTTGCTTGTTGTCACGCCAACCTCGGCAGCTGTTGCGTTCAGCTGTGGTGGCTTAGTGGCTGCACCCAGCTCAAAAATTCAGGCAGACATTTAAAAAATGTTCTGGCACTCTGCACAAATACTGCAGAGGTTTCAGGCAGTCCACATCAAATTTTCAGACAGCATCAATGAATATTCCAGACAGGCAGCCAGAATTTTGCCTTCACTCCGCGCAGCCTCCAAACTTTTGCTCACTTGATCTCTCTCCATCTCTCTGCTATGAAGGGCTGTGCAATTTATTAACGGGTTTAATTTTTTGTTATTTGTTATTTAAGCACCATTTTGCTAACGGGTCCGAGATATTCAATTGTTTATTCTGAGAGCGCAGAGGAAGTAAGGAAGCAACCCCAACCCACAAATTCATAAAGACGTCCCCTCCCATCATCTCCTTTACCAAGTTCTCATAACCTTACTGAATTTAAGAAGCATATCAACTCTCATATATTGCAAATTAATAGTGGTGATTGTTGCTGGATTCCCGGCATTTTTGGGCCTTTGCTCAGCAACCGTGATTTTAAAAACAACCCCACTATGCCTCGCACTCCGCCAGGGCCCCGGATGAAGAGACAAATGAGACAGAGACACGGACACGGAGAGAAAGAGAGAGAGAGACATGCAAGGGGTGGGCTAACCTGTCTCGTGGTCCTCTCCGCCCCCCCTATGGGCTGTGGTAATGTGTGTGGTGGTTAGCTGACTCAACACTACAGCAGCTAAGGCAAGAGACATGCGAGAGACCTTTAAAGCACACAGCAAACACCGGCAGCCCTCCAACCCCACTCTGGCCATGTGGCGCCCGCGAACACAACGTCCGTACTCGGCTCCACGAGCAAGTTCATTTCACGGCCCTTTGTCGATCCACTGCTGGATGAAGGCCTCCCCACGCCGTGTCGGTCGTGGGGCTTGGAATGTCATACTTCACCACGCCGGTCATCGCGTGTTGGCGAAGGGAAGCAGGGGGTAGCCGCGACCGCTCCAGTTATTGCCGCCCACCGACATTAGCCGTCGCCGGTAATCATCGAATGCCAGTCGATGGGTTGGGACCGCAGCGCGCTAACCGCTGCGCCACCACTCCATGGTCGATTTAGCTAATCGCTCGAAACGCTATGGCGTGCGTTTCACGGAAGCGGCGCTCCGATCCCGAATACCCCCCCCCCCCCCCGAGAGCTAATTGGTGATCCCTGCTCCGCGGCTCGCCACTCAGCGGCTCATTGTGGCGGCTCACCATTTGGACAGAATAGGGTTGAAAAGGCAACAGCATAAAAGGCAATCAGCATGTTCACAACTGTTTTGCATGAACACCAGAATCTCTGAAAGGTTAACATTAAGAGCCAGCATGCCTTAAGTGTGAAAGTGTCATCTCTGAAACACAAGAGAAAATGTGAATAATTCTGCCGAGTGTGTGTGTGTGTGTGCGTGCGTGCGGATGTCGTATGTGCGTCTGTGTACGTGAGCAAGCATGCACATATTAGAAAAGCACCATTTCATTTTGTCACTAAGAATCCATTTGACGAGACTTAACCCGACGACCGGGTTTCATTAAATCACAATTAATTTACGCTAATAAAATATACACATATATTACAACGGCCCGTCAGTCAAAACAAAATCCATATTGTGGGATGTAAAAGAAATACATTAAGTTGGCTATTGAACTCTAAGCAATCACAATGCATCAGCTGGACAGGAACCATGCTGTCTGGTGGATAAAACTCAATTACGGAATCACGACAAAACATCCTTTAGTTGTCTCATTCAAACGTAATGCCATTATTACAGAGCCCAATTACTCAATGTATCTGCAAGTAATTAAATTGTGATGCGCTAATGACACCGATTCAACAGCTAGCGAAGCCTCCACATCAGCCAATAAAAGATGCATTGCCCTGGATTATATTTTGGCGGAACTTGCAATCAAATTAGAATCGCAGCACAAAGTCCCATATCCGACTGTCACACATCCAGCCTAACGAATTAACCACCCACAACCATCGTAGTCATATTTTTTTGTGTACGCAACATAACTCTCACTTGCCAGCCACCCACAAACCCGACCGTTTCACGCACAGCCACACGTTGTTAAACTTAAGTACATTCGCTCACTTAAAATGCACAGTCATGCATTTTCCAATGTTCCTAAAGTGTGCACTTTTATTGATGTCCAATATGAGAATAGATTTCTTCCCCTTTTTTATGGCAACAAAAAACACTTTTTACAAGGAATCATGTCTGCATTAACCACCATACTTGTGGTCAGAATGCAAACAAAAAACATACTCTGATAATATATGTGGCATTGTCTTTGAAACTTAGGAGGTCCCATGATCTCAATCAGTGTACGATGGTGTAACTGCAAGGTTCGCTATGTTTGCCGAATGCTTCACGTATTCGCCCTCGCATGCCAGTTCCCCGGCGAGTCGGATATGCGACGTTGCACCGTACCGCAAAGTGCAAAAATGTCACCAAAGCGCCGATTAATTTAGACGTTTGAATGATTACGCTCTCCGATTTCCTTCGGCATGAGAGCGCGCGCACGCCATCCTACGCGGCGAACATCCAACGCGTTGGTGGCGCGTTCGAGGCTTTGCCGGGCCATCGCTCGGCAAGGCGTGACCACGCGAGCGTGCACATTAAGGGTAATGGGGGACGCTTTGCCCTTGCTCGACAACAAACAACACGTGGAGGAAGTTGGGGCCTTACCTCGCTTTGCGAGCTTCACGCAAGCAATTTTGGTTTCCTGGACAGAAGAGGGATGACAGACAGAGCGGTGCCATGATTTTACCGACAAGAGATTACATTTGTCGCAAAAAGAAAGAGCAGGAGATTTATACGGCACAAACTTCTGAACAGATGGTGCATTCGACCGCACGCACACCCTTTCAAAAAAACTAAGGCATCTACCATTACGTTGACTCATGAATCCCATGAATCACGGTGGATTTTATGTAAGCGAACAGTACGGCTCCACAATGATTATCTCTATAATCTTATCTTCTGAGCCAATGGCTGCCAAATGCCAGTGCTCGCGGTCCAGCTCAACAAGCAGCGCGTTGCGCAGGCCGCTTGAGTGACTGATGTCGTTTCTTTGTCCGTGCGGGAGTGCGTTAGAATCTACGATGGTTACCGCGAAGTAAGCCCTCGGAGCGCATTACTTGTGAACTTTGTCCGCATTCGTTATCATTTTAAAATCCAAGTGTCTCCCTGCACAAATGAGCGCTCGTCTCTGTTTGTGGATACGACCCGTCATCATCACCATCATCAACATCGGCCACGATCTATCCACTGGTGAATGTTGCCCTCCGCAAACCGCCACCATCTCTCATGGTCCGAGTGGATCGTCGCTCCGCTTCTTTGGCGAGGTCGCCACCCCCCACGCCGCACTTCGTGGCTGGCCCGACGCAGCCAAAAAGCAGCGGCTGCCTGGCCTGCGTTGTGACACCGACTTAACGATCAATTAGCGTCCCGTCTCCCCACCGTGGCATAGCCCACCGTGCCTCGTCAATGCAATTTCTGGTCGGCGGCGAAGACGCCGGTTCAAATTGATCGTTTTCCCACAAAGCGCGGTCGTGGTAAATGAGGTCACGGCGAAGGTTAGCGCGGAGAAACTTAAGAGGGAAGTTTACACGGAATGAGAATGAGGTTGACGGACCACGTGATATCATATTTTTTGATATCACGCGAGGGCAAGCTTTCGCGTTGCGGCGGCACGCTGGGGAGTGACAATCGCATGGCGGTACAAGGCCTGGAGGAAGTTCGGCTCGGGAGCGGGACGGCATCACCGCGGAGGTGCCCGCGGGCAGCGACCTCACGCTCTACTCTCGCCTCGCCATGGCTGCGGAACCTCCCGATGTCAACGCCTGCCGACGAACGACTCTAGCTGGCCAAAATCCATGCCGATCAATGACAAAACTACGATTAAACATATGGATTACCCGACCAAAATTAACTAACAGTTAAAAGTGCAACTGATACAAAGTAAATAATGGAACACCTACACGCTACATCACTCAGCCCTTTCCACTCAATGGATTTAGCGGTGATGAATGCCACTTCTATTTGTCAAATCAATGTCCCGCGGCTACACAGCCGATCACACAAAGTACAGCGAAGCACTTCCCACAACTTGCTCGGCATATGAGAGTCATGTTCTTGGCATGACAGTAAAGCTGACAGTTTAACACGTAGTCTTTCGCGACCAATATTATTCATAATAAAGGTTTTTGGGTTAGATCGCGTTTATTTATAAATGTGTCGTAACCCTCCACCACCCGACACGGCCAATCAGCAAAAAAAGTGTCACGCTGACAAAAGACAAATAATTCACTACTTTAGCCCACCGGTGTGTTAAAAGAGTGAATCCACATTTACAGTTTGAGTACGACGTTTCGCTGGTAAATACATCCAGCATCATCTGGCGAATTGCCCGATGATGCTGGATGTATTTACCAGCGAAACGTCGTACTCAAACTGTAAATGTGGATTCACTCTTCAACACACCGGTGGGCTAAAGTAGTGAATTATTTGTCTTTTGTCAACGTGACACTTTTTTTGCTGATTGGCCGTGTCGGGTGGTGGAGGGTTACGACACATTTATAAATAAACGCGATCTAACCCAAAAACATTTATTATGAGTAAAGCTGACATTTTAATTCTCAGAGCTGGTATATAGCCAAATTAAAGGCAGATCCAACTTCATTTTGACGTGTGTTTTTGTGCGCAGTCAATGGTGACCATTAATGCGCTGAGGCTTTGAACTCACTGCGTCTGAGAACCCAATTTAATCACGGGCAGCTGGAACCTCGATTCGATCCCAGGTTCTCAGCTGTGCTGGCTCAGCCCTCTGACCTCCGAGCCACCCAGCCTCCTCTCTCCCTCCAAACTGCTTCCCTTCAGCACCCAAATGCGACCTCACTGCACACTTGGGTAGAGTTGACTGCCCCTGTGAACACTTGTTGATTTCTCCACCCATGTTGAGGACTCAGTCGACCAGACACTGGCTGTTTTGTCTCATCATCCACATGGAATTCAACGACCATACTGCAGTTCACGACAATACACTCACTCACCCAGTCACTCACCCAGTCACTCACCGCACTGCAGGTGAGCACCCATCTCTTTCTCTACTTCTCTCCTCACACTGCCCGGCTTTGGAATTACCTTCCATCACCTCTTTTCCCAAAGCTCTTCGAATAACCTTGCTCAATTCACGGACGTATTCACCCTTAATCTCTTACAAGCATTACAAGCGCTGATTGCCGCTGGCCACGTGGCACTCTGGGGCCTCCGGGGCCTCCGGGGCCTCCGGGGCCTCTGGGGCCTCCAGGGCCCCATGCTGGGCAACCGCGAGAGACTCGCCAAGGGCCCCCACCTCCTGCGTGCTGCTGATGGCCTGGAAGAAGATGTCGTAGACCTTGCTGGCGGCCAGTGGCGCGTTCCAGTAGCCACCGTACGTGTGGTTGTCTCCCACGACGAAGCGCCGCTCCACGGGGAGGCCCTCGGGAGGAAGCTCCGCCGCAAAGTAGAACGGCGAGCCCTGGGCCCGCGCCTCGCGGTACGCCAGCGGCGTCGAAAAGCAGCCGCCGGCCTCCCGCCGGGCCTTCCCCGAGGGGCCCTCCTTCACCACCAGCTGGTACGCGCTGCGGGGGCGGGGGGGAGATTGGCCGTCGCCGTTACCGCGGGCATCACCGCGGGCCCTCGTCCCACACCGGCGTTAGCGCCGTGGAACGTGACGATGCGCGAGCGGTTTGCGATTGTCGCCGCTCGATCCGTACTCGGCCAGAAGTAAACACAAACATTCAGGAACTGCATTGGCAGTGGTGTGCATGCTCAAACTAACATCAGATGCTTTGTTGATTCGGCCCACATCAATTGACAATATTCCAGATCATGACATTTTAGTCATTGGCCCTTCCTTCGAGCAATGTCTCTGTATTATGAATGCCTCTTCTGTTCTAAGATGGATAAATGACTAAAGGAGTTACGTTGACACCCTTTTGTTAAACTGCTTGCTGAGTGAAGGTCTCATCAGGCCATGCTGGTCGCAGGAGTTGCTGAACCACGCTTCTCCACGCTGATGCTGAAGAGGGCACCGATAACCGAGCGGCTGATGTTAACCGTGGCCGGGAATAAAACTCGGGTCGTCAGGTTCACAGAGCAGTGCAGACCCACACTACGTTCACCGCCACAGTTCTAGGCACTCGCCTCGCTTCTCCCACTCCTTCTTCCCTCGCACTGCTCCACTGTGGAATTTCCTCCTCCCATCATTGCCATCTCTATTCCCAAGCTCGCATAATAATCATAACCTCGATTCAAGAAACGTGTCAACTCATCTATCGTATTGTTTGTTGCTGGCTTAGCAACTGTATAGAAAATAAAAACCCATGACAACACACTTCTCCATAAACTACACTATAGAATTATCATAATCATATTTAAAATCAGTGTCATTATCCTCATCAACGCCGCGACGATGTGCCACATCCACGTGGCGTATCACCTCGGGAGTTGTCACGGCCAACGGTGGACCCGGCAGCACAGCGGACGATTTTTTTAGCAAATTCCATCGTCGTTCATGCGAGCGAGAGTGCGAGCGGGGTACGGAGAGGGCTCGCGATAAACACACGGGAGCAGCTGCATAAATTTTAGGACCTTCGAGTGACTGCGCCAGCGGCTTTGGCGCGCATGGCGCTGGCAACCTTGGGCACTGACCTGGCGGACTCAAGTCCCCGCATCCTCCGTCGAGAAGCGGCGGACGGCCATCAATTTTAACAGCTCATTTAACCGCGAGTCGAGGCTCCATTTATATTCATCGAGCGCACCTCACCACGAGCCCGCAGATGCGTGCAATACGTGGCGTGGAGCGGCGATGCAGCATGCTACAAACCTGGTTACTCGGGTCCTATTTCGTGCTACGGCTAACAACGGTGGAGAGCGAGGACTTCAACCTGGTTGTCGACTCGGCCTCAAATGAATAGCTGCTGGTGCGGCGGTCTAAATAAAAACCAGCACCGATGCGGCAGTGCTGGTCACAGCGTTCCATCGTGAACCACGCTGGCATTGATAGATGCTCGCAAACAGAACTTGCCCAAGAATAATTTAGCGTCGATGAGAATTTTAAATTGATGATAAGAGAGCATTGGCCAAAACAATCAATTCGTTCATTTGTGATTTTTTTTTTCTAAGGATGCTCAGAATACTTTTATTTTCCTCGATATAAAAAAACGCTGACACTACACAGTGAAAGACTAACGCGGTTTCATGTTTTCCGATCAAATTAATTCCGCAAATCTTTTGTGACATCTCACTGGCAGTTTGTGTTTAGGGGTCCGTATTTAATCAAAACGTCTCGCCCACTGTGAGTCAACGCGCAAACGGGAGGCAACAGCAGCTTAGCATGCAGCTCCTTCGCCTGCTCGTGATGCCCAACCCTGATGTGTGCGTAAGAACTTCAATTAGCCTGGCCTTAGATGCATTCAAATCTTCAAGAGAATTACAGACGATGTGAAATTAGCCAAATCAATTTGCCTAATTTGCACATCAGACTCAGTGAAACATAGACATGTTGGAAAACACAATTTACTGGCCTTTAACGAAACAGCCACGAGATAAGATGTCTCTAATTAACATAGTAATTTACTTATGCAAATACTCTTCTGCTTTACTGCAGGCAAAGTTGGAAATTAAAAAAGTGTGTTGGCACAAGAGAGCCAGAACATTTTTTGATAGCAACGTACTGTGGTGGTTGCATCATACAAAAAAGTATTTCCCAAGCCAATACAAAACCTTTTTAATTAAAAAAATGGAGTAATTAATCATTTAACCCGCACCCTTGTGCTCCGCGTGGATTGCCACCGTATCAGAGATCTACAACCGATTACGCGCACACCGATACCGGGCACCGCTGAAGGAGAGGAAATCACCGCTACGGCGTTCGTTATTGGTGGAGACGTGCGCGGGGTTCTTATACATTCTGGCTTCTTCTTTTTTGCCCTTCTGCGTGGAACAAGCAACGCTTCGTGATTTCACAACCCAGGATTTCTTCGCTCAGGCTGGATGTGAAACCCCGTGTGCTAGATGAGACCAGACCAAAATGGGAGTTACCACCTGTCCTGGTTTTCCCAGGACCGTCATCCTCTGTTCCAAGTAGCTGTCTTGGGAAATCTGCACAACGACGAGCGGAGCGCCGGGCGGCTAAAAGGCAGCGAGTTGGCTCAGTTGGGAGCACGAGTGGTGCATCTGCCAGCCATCTCAGTCAGTCAACCGATGACATCTGGATCTGTCCCATGACCTCATGCCACAGCGCGCTGAAACACTTCACGGGGATTCAAAGTACACCTAGCCTGGCACATGCGTTGTAGTGACGGCACCGCAGCTTGATGGAAAATGGTTGCTGCTGTTGTTGCCACGTGTATATGTAGGTATTTTTGTGTATGGTACAGTATGTGTGTGTAAGTATACGTTTGTGTGTATGTATGTGATCTTTGTGTATGTAAGCCGATGTTTTGGATCTGGGTGCGTGTGTATCTATGTATGTTGATATGTCGGTGTGTGATTGTCTATGGAGCTCCCGTAGGTCAACTCAGCCTTAAATTAGTTCCAACGTGTAAACATTGGCATTGGGGACGTAGAGGCGTGGTGCTGGCCACCCACCCCTGTCGTGTGCTGTGCCGGCCTTCATCGGTGCTCGATAACAGCACTTGCCCCAACAGTCTGATGAAGGCTATGGGGGGGGGGGGGGGGTCTTTGTTTTGTCTTTGTGTATTTACATGAGTGTACGTGTGTGTACGTGTGTGTGTGTGTGCGTGTGTGTGTGCGTGTGGGGAGGGATAGTGTAGCGGTTAGCGTGCTGCGCTACGAACCCGGCGACACGGGTTCGATTCCCGCTCACGGCCAACATCAGTGACAATTATCTGAACCGGTCCTAGGCCTACTCTAGGTCGACTCAGCCTCAAATGAGTACCTGGTGCGGTGTGTGAACATCGCCACTGGGGATACAAAGGCGGTCGGGCACGGTACTGGCCACCCACCTCCTCGTGTACCGTTCCGGTCTTCATAGGTGCTCGCTAAAAGCACTTGCCCCTACAGTCTGTTGAGGTGCGTGTGTGTTCGTCCGCATCCGTAACTGACCTGATGGGGGCCCCTCTGGCCTGTGCCGGCTTCAGCAGGATGGTGGCCGTGGTGTCCGTGTAATCGATGAGCGAGTCGGCGCCGTAGTGCGGCAGCGTCGGAGCTAAAAGCACAGCCGCAGTAGAGGCACGCGTAAGCCTGGGGCGCACGTTCGCCGGTCGCCCACGACCCTCCACCTCCGACACGCAGAGGTGGACACCGCTTCCGTCGTGTTTACGTCCCGCGCGTTCGATCGTTCGACGGCCAAAGATAAAATACCACTATGAAATTCAAACGAGCGACGCTGCCACACAGCGGTGTGACGATCCGCGCACTGGTCCTGCGATCTGGAGGTCGCCGATTCGATTCCAACTCCCGGCACGGCAGTTGAAAAATGGCTTCAACACAGTTAATCGACTGTCAGGTCATGCGTGGTGGGGTAAAGCGTGGGTACTCCTCCCTCCTCCAAGACAGCATTAAATAATATGTTGAATATCCTGTAAGAGGGCCTTTCATGAGCTCCCTCGAGTGGAGCGAGTCATTATAGGGCTGCACCTTTATCTTTTACACAAACATCTCCGGCTACAACTGTCTCGCTAAAGATAGGTCAACATTATTTTTTTCGTCATCGTCAAAACTTCCCCAGAAAGCACATTCCCGTCGCCACCCCTGTAGCGCATGTTAAAATACCATGCGAGATTTAAAGAGCGGCTAAATGCAGTTGCGTCTCGGGCACCCTTGCAGCTCACGCTCGGCGTCTCGTCGCCCTCCCGTCATGGTGACATTCGGGTCACGGAACATTTTTGCCCACCACGACCCCCGTGCGTTCGTCCGACACGCGGTCGGTCTCTCCGGAGCGCGGTGAACAAAACGGAGCGACGTCGGTCCGGCTCCCTGTGCGGTCACTGGGCGCTGGGGGTCACGGAGAGAGGCGACCTCTCCGCTGGCACCCTTAGCGGTTACGGCCGCTGCTGCCACTCCTACCGCTGGCCCCGACATTGGGCATCCCAATTTAACTGACTCATGAGTAACACAACTTGTATGTACAGCCTGTTGTCGATCCACTTGCTGGACCACCCAACCCCGAGATGGTCATGGTAATTTTTTGACCATACTTCACCACTATGGGCAGTGCAGGTTGGTGAATACGGACTGCTCCACGACTGCTCCAGCAACCACAACAACCACAACAATAATGCCCTTTATTTATGCCAGAAAGCCAACCTGATTCCCAAGACGCATTTTCCATTTTTCGGAGCATCCTGCATGGGAAGTTTTGTCAGTTTCGCTGAAGAGTGAGAGCATAATACTCAAAGGGCTGCTCAGATGGATTCAATAAAACATATTTTTGTATCGTCTTTGCCTTGCAATTTCACAGAGCAGCAAGTTTGGAAGTTTCACAAATCCTGTCGTGATTCACCAACCCTAGCCTCAAGGAGGGCCGATTTGGAGGCATGTGCCACTAATTCGGTTAAAGACGGTTTCCCACGAAAGATCGAGCGGTGCTCATTTTCTATCCACAGCCCTGAGCCAGCAGCGGAAATTCCACATTCTTATGGCAGAGATAACTCTGCATAGAACATTCTGGACTTCTCACAAGGCGGTACTCATTTTACCACGGTGCAGGTTTTTCACGGTTGTGCCACTGCACAGATCTCCGATGTGTTTTCGTGCCGTGCCACATTTTGTTCGGCACAATGTTCAACGTTTCGCTCAGCATGCCGGCAGCTTCTTTGGAAACTGAATGAACACCGATACTCTTTGGTTTTATTCGGTAAAGTCACGTAGGTAAAAAAAAACAATTAAAACACGATGTTTTGGCCACAACACAAGTGGCCTTCTTCAGGTGAAGGAACAGAACTATCGGGAATGAATTCTTGCAGTCACGAAAGCTTCAAATCTTGAATGAACACCGTGTGTCGGGAAGCAGTTCATGGGCACACGGAACGAAACGTCGGACATGGTGCCGAAGAGCAGGCGGCATGACGCAAGAGCGCATTGGGGAGTGGGACTCATGTTATCGGCGCTAGAAGGGGGCAGCGGCAGGTCTGCCATCGGCCAGGATGAGCACATTCACAACATTCCGGCAGCGGGCCCATAACAGCCCTAGCCCCACTGTACCAGCCGTCCGGATGCTCAACGAATACTCTGGCAGCAAAAGTAAACAAACTTCAGCCACGGTAGATTTAATCGCCTGGCAAACACGAGTCGGAGGGCACAGGGCGGCGCGGGAGAATTAAGTGCACTCCTTGCAAATTGCGGTCTCCGTGCTCCGTACTTCCCATGCACAAATTATACCGCAGTCCCACACATAACTGGAATATTTTCGTTGCAAAGAAAGCTCTTTTGTGTTCCAAATAAAATATATAAATAAGCGCGTAATTCGATCGTGAGAATGGCATCTGTAGCCAGCGACGCAGGATGCAACAACACACAACACCTCCTCCTCTGCAACGTTGTTGTTGTCGCCAAGCACGATCCATCCACTGCTGAATAAGGGCCTCGACAAACCATCGCTATATGTTCTACCCTCTCGCAACGTGACAGTTCATGATCCGCTCCCTTACACGAGCGGATTCGTCGATCGCTCCATCTCCATGGTGGGCACGGTTTTTGTTTTTTACACAAAATAATAATTAATTAGCCAAGGAGGTACGATAATTTCTTTAGAAACACACATTCCTCGACATCTGTGAAAAAGAGCTTTATAGCTCATCGGATTCCTCCAGTATAAATAAATATCCTGATTCTGATTAATACGTACACTCAAACACATAAAAGACAAAGATCCTCAGCATAACCTTAATAGACTTTTGGGGCAAGTGCTGTTAAGCGAGCAGCACCTATGAAGGCTGACACGGCACACGAGGGGTGGGTGGCCAGCATCATGACCGGCCGTCTTTGTCTAACTAATGGCGATGTTTACAAACTGCACCAGGTCCTCCTTTGAGGCTGAGTCGACCTAGAGGAGGCTCAGGACCAGTTCAGATAATCGTCACTGGTATTGATCATGGGCGTTAATTGAACCTGAATTGCCGAGTTCGTAGAGCGGTGTGCTTACCGCTGCATTCCACACACACATACCACGCTTATAAAATACCTGTTCAGCTCCCATCCTAATTAACATTACTACAAGTGTTTCAACTATTTGCGTGTATATACACGTACAGAGAGGTTTTTCAATTAATTTGCTCTACGTAAAAAAAAAACTATACACCACAATTGCAAGCACATTCCTGCTGTCAAGATTAAAATTAATTGGTGAGCTTGCCGAGAAGGGGGTGCTTCTCTATTAAGGGGGACGTGGGGGGCGGAGGTCACATGGCCCCCTCCTCCACGGAAGGGCACCACAGTTGCTGTACCACTCGGGCACCTCACAGGGCCCCCCTCACTCACAACAGAATGTTCATCTCACCAAACCGGGGGATTTTGAATGGGTCAGCATAGACCATCCACACTGGGGGATCGATATAACACAATCGCAGTACTGCATCAAACTTCCTGCTGCAAGGATCACACGGCGACGTATCATCAGCCACGATAGAATCGCTGCTGGATTTAAGAGCATCCCTGACGGTGGTGACGCAACACTCCACCTGGCTCCCGCACGCGAGCCGATCTCGTCGCTCCGTCTCCTCCACGGACGTGCCGCCCTCCCCCGATGTCGCGAGCGGCAGCGTGACGGCGAGCAGCGCGGCGTACCTGAGATCTTGGTGGTGAAGTAGACGGTGGCGGAGGGCCCGAGGCCCTTGACGGTGCTGGCGCGGATGGAGAAGGAGTAAGTGGTGCCGGGGTAGAGAGCCGGGAACAGGTGCTGCGTCTCGTTGGCCGGCTTGTGCGCCTGGCCGTGCTCGTCCTCCACGTTGAACGCCGGGTCCACCGACCGCACCGCGCTGTACAACACCTGCGGGGCGACGCGCCGCGGAACGTGAACACGGGCGACGGCCCAACGGCCCGGCGGTGCCGCAAGCGTTGCCGCCGGCCTCGCCGACTCGCGGCCGCACTGAGGCGCAGCGGCGGGACGCCACTCGGCCGCGCGGCCACTTAGACCCCGGTAGGATCATCGCACCGAATCAAGCGCCGAGTCAAATTTTAATTGATGGGTTTATGTTTATACAGTCATTGGGTGACCAGACTCAGACTATCAACTCGCTGCCGCCACGGTTTAACCTCCGAGCCACCCGGCCACTGCAATTACCAATTATTTAATCTTCCTTAAATTTGAGAGGTTTTCGTGAGTTTTAGAAAAATGTTTTCATTAAGAGTAAATAAGTGGAAAACACCGTGTAAAAATACAAATCAAATAAATAAATACTTTTTTCCCAGCTCTCAGATATCTTTTTTTTTACAAATAATTAATTAGACACATACTGCTGACGGCACACCGAATGTTGGAAACGGTTTGCTTGTATAAACAACCTTTATTATGAATAAACAATACTGTATGGCAACATCATTCTGGGATGCCTAGGGGCTGAAAAATCTATTTTTACTTTGAGAGAATAATAAGTCTATTTTATATTAAATTACTACGCAAAAATGCTCCAACACCACAGTGCATAATGAGTCTTAGACAATAATGCAAATCGACCACCTTTAAAACTCCCCTTAATGGCCACGCACAATCACTGCGAAGCAGACGAGGCGCCATGGCAAATCAACCGCACTCACGTCCTGCTGCAACGCTGGGAGCTGTCATCCTAGCAGACAGGTATTATCGTCAAGGTAGTTATGGATGTTTGTACCAAATGGTCCCCTGCAAGCTGGGCCCACGGCCAGGGGAAGAGCGGAGTTGTGCTGCGATAGCCGGCCTCACGATGCGACGCGAAACTCCAGGGTGTGACGATCGTCGCGACATCGATGTCGCTGAACTTTGCAATCGCAATGCGCGTTGCTGAGATTAAAACCTGTTCACCTGCAGTTGCCTTAACATGATCAGCATGCTTATAGTATTCATAATCGTTACAGCTTCACAAACCGTAACGCTTATAAAGCACACGGCAGACATAAAACTATTACGTAAACGTAACCAGCACGCTGTCAATTTGTCTGGAAAACTCTTTACAAAGCACTCATTTAGAGGCTAACGGCTATACTGTATTTTTGTGCACGTCAATTATGATCATTTGTGAACTTTGAGTATCGTTACTTTGTAAACAGGAAACACACGTATTTAAAAATCGGCAATGGAAACTACGGAAATGACACGCTACGACGAGCATGTGCCGTGTGCCGCTTGCCGTGTGCCGCTGCCGTGCGCATTGTGCTTGGCACGGCGGAACACCGCCGAGCCCATCAAAGCAACCCCACAAAGTCGCTATTTTTGTCAGAACCCAGACAGAGCCCTCCCCTCTCCCACCCCTCTTTATGAAAGGAAGCGTTAGATTTTATTTATTACTTTAAGCCAGGGGCCCCCACAATAACAGTGACGTGTCCGTCAAGTGCCCTGGCCTTTATCGCGAGAGGAGTTAGGCGTGCTTTGTGTCTCTTGTGGCAAATGACTGGGGCTGAAACACACCCCATGTGAACGGGACGAGAGAATTCTTGGCAGCCTCGGGGTTGAATAGCGTTATGCCCTTGAACTGCGTGGAAACAAAACGAGGGCATGTAATTTTATTTTTTTGTTCCCCACTAAATAATCTGTAATTCCGCGGGCTTCACTAAAAAGGCAACATATACATTTTAGAAGGATTTTTTGTTGTTATAAACAAGTAAAAAAATCGCCACAAAAAAACACAGCACGCAAAATATATTGAAGGTGGCCATTCGCGTACAGCCGTGGCGAGGGTTGGTACAACCACTATTTTCACCCTGCACAGTGTAAAGTAATTAATTGGTGTGACGTGTATAGTCTGCAAACAGATTGAGATATATACTGTATAGCATACAAAAACAATCAATAGAGTGCGTTTCCTCCCTCCAGGATAAATTGACATTCGGCAGGCAAATGACATCACCATCACCGTAAATGACAGAGGGCTCCTCAGTGTTGTAAATGTAATGAGCCTGCAGGTCGTCCATTAGTCGCCTCCGATTCAACACCACAACACACTAACAACACACTAACAACACACGAACAACACACTAACAACACACGTTATACTCTACATGGTCATCACTCGCGATGTATCCACTGCCGGACGAAGGCCTCATAAAGTAAATGCAAAGTACAGGAGGCAAGAAGCAGCAGAGTGACTACATCACTGATAGAGCGGTGACACAGTTGTCAGCACAATCCGGTGACCTGAGTTTGACCCCCGGCCCTGGCTAATTTCAGTGGTGAGTGCCACGTGAACGGACGCCGGTTCACCCGTCCACCAACTCCCACTCACCGGCGCGGTGTATTTGTCACAGCAACCCCCGTGACCTGCACGCCATGGAGGAGGCCTTATGCTTGTGTGGTTCCCCATACGATATCCCTACTTTAGCAAGTTAGAGATATCACGTTGAGTGTTGGGAAGAGTAAGTGGGCTGGGGCAGCACCACGGTGCTGGAAGGGTCGATAGCCCGGTGGCCGAGACTCTCCGAACGTAAACACGCTCTCATGCTCTGCTTGTTTAGAACTCCCGGGGGAGCTGGCAGAAAACCAAATTTCCCCGAGACAGACGGCTCGGACTCTCTCCCAGTCCATCGCGCTACGCGGATGTCAGGCCTGAGCAGGGCCCGCGCGAGCGTGCAGTGCCGTGGGACTCGAGGACTTACGCTGGCGGCTGGCCTCTGGCCATGGACGCAAAGCGCATGGTCTCACAGTTTGGCAATTGATGTCAACTCCTGTTCGGCAACAATAGCTGCGTGTAATCAATGTGAGCAATACATTCATATGCATTTTTTAATTATTTAGTCATTATTCATCTTTAATTCAAGTTATAAGGAATAAAAATCAGTTTGAGTGCAGCAGCTGCTGCTGGGAGGATGGTTGCACCGCAGGACCATCAGAAGTTGCGGCGGCTTGGGGAGCCCCTTCATCCAGCAGCGGATTGACCATGGCTGATGATGATGAAATAATAAAAATGCTATATATGCATAGTTTTTGGGTGGAGCACTTGCGCAAAAAAGAGCGCCTTGCCCGATGAAGCTGCCATCCTGAGTTTGATTCCCATTCACATCGAACATCAACGGAGAGTGATATCTCAACTGGACTTGCAGGGAGTCGGTCAGTAGCAGGGAATCGACAGCACTCAAGGCTGGGGGAAGGGATATCCAGACTGTGGGACAGCAGAGGAGAACGAGCGACGTCCGGCACGAGCGTGCGTGTGCCCGGAACACGGGTCTCACCTCGTATTGGACGATGGCGCCGTTGGGCTCGTCAGGCTCACTCCACTGCAGGAAGATCGTCTCCTCGGTGACGACGCCCTGGACACGTTCGAGGGACACGGGCCCCGGGACTGAGGAGTAAGAGGAAAAGAGATACTCTTTATTGCACCGCGTGGGGGGCACCCATTAACCGCACCGCGTGGGGGGCACCTGTTAACCGCACCGCGGCCACAGCCACTGCACCAACATTGGAAGGAAGACGCGGCTCAATGGCGAAAACGATTCCTGTCCCGTAGCGACACAAACCAGGGCCAGATCGATCACTCGGTGGAATTACACTCAGCAATCATCGCCCCTTACCGGGCAGACTAATGCCCGCTTGTTGGCAAGGTGCCGAGTCACCTCGTGCCCACAGGGACAACTGCCACTGGGGGTGCCCTTTCAAATGTGCAGAGATGAGATGTGATGAGGGTCACGTCACGCTCACACGTATTCATTGAAAATCAATGGAGTAACATCACTAGAATTGCTGTGGCAGTGCAGCTGCTGCGCCACAGTATAAAAAAGGTGTTTTTATTTGCTTTAAATGGTCCACCCAAGTCGATCGGCAGGTCACATGTGATAGAGTAAAGAATTGTAATACTCCCCACTTCTTCTAAGATGTCTGGCCTCCGTGGAAGTGTACGCCAGATACTCTCTCCAGGGGGACATACAGTACTCTCTCTCGAGCTCCCTCGAGTGGAGGCCCTTCTGCCAGCAGCAACGGCGGCACAAGGAGATCAATTGCAGGGCTGCACCTGAACCTTTTGACAAAGCTCCCAAATTTTCGTTGTTGCAGCGTGGGATGCAAGGCCTTGGTAAAGTTTGCTCCACGAGAGGCGTTTGTGGATTGTTTTTGTGTTTTGCGCTCGGGTAGACATTTAATTACAGCTGTACGCAGCAGCAGGTGGCCAGAGTAACGACCCCCGCAATCGCGCCGAACGTCCCACGGCGGGGATTACGGTGGCGCTGGCCGCTGCGGCAGCTCGTTGCACCGGCAGAGCCGCGTGGCACGGAATGTGCAAGGGTTGAATTTGAACAAAGGTAAACTTGCCACCGGTCCTGGTTTTCCCAGGATCTTCTCTCTAGCTGGGGCAGCCATTCAGGGCAATCTATGAGTCTTCCCGGGAAGTTAAAATCCAGATTTTTGTCAGCTGTATTAGCATAATAATAACGGACCGCTCACAATCATGCTTTTGCATGCAATCTTCCACGATTTCAGCATTTTGAGATATTCTTCTTCACACAATATGTCCCGGTAAGCTGCCACGGCCACAGAAAAACGAAAAGGCAAGCGGCCCAACTGGGACCAGTCAACCCTCAATCACCCGCGTGCGGATTATCCGGGTTACCGTTCGGCCATGCCGTGAAGAAGTCATTGCGGGGCTGAACCTTTATCCTCTGGCAACCCAGGAAAGTGTTGCCCGCCGTGGAAAACGGGGTCGGCGCTAGCACGGAACCGCACGGCACGGCTCCAGGCCGGAAGGTGCACGCCGAGGAACTCAATTACCCGGAGGGGCGAAAGGGCACCCTCAGTGGAAAATGTTACTCAACGTCAAGGAAGGGGCCGGCGAGCCCACTGGAAACAGGGCCTCATTGTGCGTGGTCCGAATCGAGGGAGGCTGGGAGTCCTGCCAGGAGCTTTTCATCTTCATTTCCACCGCGGCTTACATACGGCCAAGGTGGGAAAGGAAAATACACAGTCGTACAAGAGGGTGCCAGAGGAAAACTCGCTCTCTCCGGGCAAGAATTTTAAAAACCAATAAGCTGAGGAAAACATTCTCTCAACGTCCCAAAATGTCAAAAAGTTGTAATATTTGTTTTAATAAATAGACAACGAGATGCAGCTTTGGCGCCAAGTGAAAGAAATCTCCTTGAAGGTCGCCGGAGTGAGAAGCAAAGACCCCGTTAAGCCCCCTGTGACCTCTCTCCACCCAGGGCGACATCCCCCGCCGGCCCTGCAGAATGAGCACGGTTGCCACCTGTCCTGGGTTTCCCTGGATCGTCCTCTTCTTGAGGAGTATTTACACACAATTCTCCCCTATTCTGGTATTGTGAAATATTATTTTTCCCACGATATACCCCGGTTTTTTGTATGACAGCAGTGGCGAACCAGTGTCAATTTGGTCAGCATTATCTATCTCGTCTGAGTCAATGATATCCAGTGTAATTGCGGACAAGTGCAAGTCTGTATATTTCATTCAGCCATTCAAATAAAAAGCGCCGACTAATCGAACCCCAGCGGCAGCGACCCCGAGGCGTGGGGGTAGAGCTCACCGTCCTCGTCCGTGTGCGTCACCACCCGCTCGCTCGCCTTCCGCCCCTCGGGCGTCATTAGCACGGCTTGCAGGCTCAGGTTGCGGAACGGAGGAAGGCCGGGCAGCACGAAGCCATGAGCCGCCCTCCCGGCGTCCCTACACTCCTCGCCGCCGCCGCCGCCACCGGCTTCCGCCACCGCGGCCGCCGCGCCCCCGGCCGTGCCATTCCCCGCTGGGCCCCTCGCGGCCCAGCTGCGGTAGCACACGGTGACGTTGAAGGCGTGGCAGCGCGTGACGTTGTAGCCCAGCGGCTCCCACTGCAGGCTGATCTCCCGCGAGCGGATGGACACCACGCGCAGGTTCAGAGGGCCGTGCTTCGGCTCTGCGGGACGGAGGGGCAAGCGACCGCGAACCACTCTCTCGTGACAATGCTTACGGCACACGGCCATTGCTCAGCACAAAAAACAGTCCTCTGTCATTCATTACAGTCAACGATTTGACCATACTTCACCGGCGTGGATTGGTGGAGGGAGTGCCCAAAACCGGTTAATATAGCACTCACCGCTGATGTGAGTAGCCACAGCTGGTAAATTAACCCAGGTTCATCAGGTCTCAGAATTAGTCAAAATATTGTCAGCTACTACTTGTGCAATTAATTTGAGACAAACATGCAACGATCTTCGATTGACGAATTAAAGATGATTCTTATGCTCAAGATATGTGAATTTAATGAATCATACTACAACCGATAATTTGCCAACGCTACATTGGAACAAAACAAGAAAAAAACAAGCAAGTTGGTAAAAATGAGACCAACAAGAATATGTTTTTGAATCTAAAAGCGACCCTTCATCACGACGATTAATTTAATGACTTGTGGTATGAACGATGGCATGCTTTGCGTTAAATGCTTTACTGCCGCGACAAGATGTGTCATGTCTGAAACAACGGATACATCTGCTGCCCCGTCGGGTAGTTAATAGTATTTTTAAAGCAGTTTCCACGCTCCACCGTGCCCTTAACTGGGTTTTTGTTGGCTATAAAAATGAAACCATTACGATAAACGTGTTTAGATAAAAGTAATCGCTTTCTGCACCCCCCAAATCTAAATTCAATCTTGACACATGTCCCAAATTGCAAATCCTCTCTGCAGGTGATGACAGTAAGGAGCAGAATTGTCACGTGACTGATGGGCTATATTAGACGTGGGAGATATGCACTAAATTGACCCAGACTTATAAAAAGAAAAAAACTTCAAGAGCCAGATAACTTGCGGAGCTTAAATGATCTGTGTAACCAAATTTTTCTACCATCTCCTCGTTAACTCTGCTTAATACGCTCCCTTTCTTCGGTTTACCTTTGCACTGCCAATGCACGCACTGTATTCCACAAGTTAGCTGGAAACTAAGGCATGTGCTTTAAAGATCGCTCTGTAAATACGTGTTGCCAATCAATGAGATCTATTCAGAGAAGCTTTTTTCCGACTAAGTCGAAGGCAAATGATGATGATAAAGAAATAATTGAAAGAACAGGACTCATAGATGATACTGCTGTTGTTAAAGCAAAGACAATCGAGTGGAAACGTATAGCACTCGTCATGAGAAAATCTGACAAGAGATGAGAGAGGAAACGAACTCCGTTAGAACGAAGACGAATGGAAGGGAGTCGAAGCAGAGGGAGACAGTGGAAGAGACGGCCGCAGCGGCAGCAGCAGCGAGACAACATCACAGAGGTCGGAGGTCACGACCAGACAGGAGCAGCCGGGGAAAGGAGGAGATTGAGGACAGAATGGGGGAGGCCTTCACCCGATGCTGGGGAGTCACCGGCTGACAACAACAATCAGTCGTTATTATACCGATGAATGGCTCGCGTACCACTGGCTTTCACGAGTAGCCTCTCAGGAGCTGATCCCTCATCCCTGCTCAGCAATATCACCAACTCATGTGCAGTGCATATACACGTGTGTGTGTGTGCACGCTTTTAATCCACCGCATGCCCAGGCAGCTTCTGTTTGAATGTGAAAGAGGGTGCTAAACATAGCGGCACGGGTGGGAGACGATAGGGGGTGATGCGGTACAGAAGGATGTGGAGCAAATTGCACCGGTGTAAAAATCGACCTCTGCGGAGGAGGCTCGTGAAGGACGCTATTGGGCAGTTGGAGGCAGTAGTCGTCCAACAAAAAAACAGGGCGCAGAAGAGCGATGCTCACAACAATGAGCAGAACACCAGGCAGCTAAAACGCAACAAGTTGACACAGTGGGGAGCACAGGTGGTGCATCTGTCAGTCATCGTGGTCAATCAACCTTGGGTGTGTTCCATGACCTCCTATCAGCAAGCCTTCGACACTTCACGTGGCCTCAAGGTGCACTTAGCCTGGCACAAGTGTTGTAGTGAAATCACGGCCACTCAGTGTCGAATGGCAGCTGTTGTTGTTCAGCAATGTTCTTGTCCGAAACGCATTCAAAATCTAAAACTTCAAACTGAGTGTTTTTGCCCAAATATAATCATCACAGCTTGCACTTAATTCGGCGGCATCAACGCGGAATAAATAACGGTGTGCGCTTGAGCGTGCCACGACCATTGCTCCGGTGCCGATACAATTATTATTTCTCTCCAGCCACTCGCTCCGGCGGAGAATGTTACGCTGCTCGGAGATGCACTCTCGATCCCGTGCCCGTGGAGGACAATTTAACAAGTAATTTGAAGTGCTTGGCCCATAGGCTTTGACACACGCTTGTGTACACGCAGCCATTTCCAAAAGATAACGCGAGCGGGCGGGCGCCCATTGGGACCGATGCCGGCACGCCCCACAGGACCAGCACGAAGCTAAATCTTCCTGAACGTGAGAAAATAAGCCCTGGCGGCATTCCCTTTAACCCATGGCGCACCCCCCGCCCGCCGGCTACCTGACAGGCTAACAGGTGAGAAAGCAGCAAAATAATTGTTGCGGCGGCCTCAGCAGAGCTTGTGGATGAAGTTGAAATGAATTAATAATGTGCCCATTACAGCAGCGCGCTCAATAAACCCATAACTCAAACTAAACGTGACTGGGAATGAGTTGCAGTGCCTCGTCTTAACACTCCACTGCAGCTGCAATCAACGTGAATCACGCATCAGCAACATGCGATGCGCTAATGGGCACAGGATCGCGCACTAATTGCCGGATGCCATGTGGCCTGTAAACCAAACGCAGCACAGCAGTGACACGAGGAGAGAAGGGAGTTTAGGATGTGTGCACTGCCCCCATGGACTCGTGCACATTTGCGTGTACACGCGCTGTGCTTCCCCTTTCTCGTGAAACTTGAAGGTTCCTGCCTTTTCTCTTTAACCACAGCTGCCCGTTATGATTAATTAAACTTGCGCTTTAATTTCGAGGTGGCTGAACCAGGACACATGGTAAGCTGCAGCCCCTCTCTCGAGGGACCCGGTGGCGAGCTGTTAACTCACTCGACTGGTATACAGGAGGTCGTGGATTCCATCTCGACCCTGACGTCTGTATATTTGGAGTTTGCACATTCTTCTGTAGTCACGTGCATTTTTTCCGGGTCCTCCGGTCTTTTCCTCCACATTTAGAAACATGTGTTTAGAGTATTTGCTGCTATAAATCTCCACGTGATAAGCCACTTCATTGAGCTATTATTTGTGGCCAGGTTGCTCCTGAAAAAGAGCTATATAGCTCTGTCATCCTACCTGGTAAAATAAACTAAAAATAGTTTCTAATATACTTTTTTGAGGTTAGATCATGTAAATATAATTGTGTCGTAAACAGAACATGCCAATTCGTTACTAATACAGCACACGGGTGTGTTGGAGAGCAAATCCACAACATTTACAATCTGAGTACGCCGTTTCGGCAGTAATTACAACTAGCTTCATCAGGCGACAGCCAGATTTGTGGAGACATCCTCCTGTTGTGTTCCTTCATTAGAGGGATAGATGTGATGACGTCACTTGTGAGACCTTCACGTGCGAAGGGGGGGATTAATGAATGCATATAAATTGCAATGGGTATCCATTGCCGGTTGGGTTACTCATGGTAATGAACGTACATGATGCACGCACATTGCTCTTGTACCTCCTGTCGTTTGTGTGCAATAAAATATCAGTACCTGTTCTTGTATGGTGGTGGCGAGTTTAACGACACATTTATATTCAGGCGATTTTACCAAAAAAAACTATATTATGGATGATATTGGTCGCAAAAGTCTGCGTTTTAAACAAAAATTAGCTTATTTCATATCTATATCAGCCATGCCCACCCAACAACTAGCACCACCCTCATGGGGTGTGGCCTCTTGCTGGCCCCGCCTACTGCTCACAGGCTCCGCCCACTACTCAGGTAGCCCTACCCTTTACCCAGTCGGGCAAGAGGCACAATGGGAGTGCCTTTCTGAAACCGTGAGTGTCCCAACCCAAACCTGTACCTTTTTTATTTGAACCCACGCTGTCCTTTCTCTCTCAGCCCCACCTGCACGGTCCTCGCTGCTTACCCCTATCTGTGCTACCGATATTATCAATGCTCTACCCAAGACCTCGGTTGCCCTGCGCCTTCTGCCTTACACTATACACCGATTACCTCTAACCCCACGTGGGTGTGCAACCCCACCACCTACTCTCCAACCCACGCTCGCCACTGTCTTCCCCCCGCCCGCCCCCCCGGGTACCTGCACAGCGCGTGCGCGTGATGAGCGGCGGGCCCGGAAGGCCCGTGCCGCCCTCGCCGGGCCGCGTGAGCAGCACGCGGATCTCGTAGGCCGTGTCCGGGTCCAGGTGCCACAGCTTATAGGTCTGCGAGTCAGCGCGGTTCACCTCGGCCCACGTCCCCGCGCTCTGCTTCCACATCACCTCCTTCAGGATGATGGGGCCCTCGCCCACGATCGAGTTGGCGTTGAGGTGGACCCACAGGTTCGTGGGGCCCACGCGCAACAGCAGCGGGGGAGCCACGGGCGTCGGGGGCTCTGGCGGGCGGCATACGGTGATCGTTAGAAATGAAACATTCAATTTGCCTGCATTCCAACTATGGGAATTAAATATTGATTTTATTATAACATGATGATTATTAATCTAATATGCAAACTGGGTTAGATAATGATTCTCTCTGCTCTACTGTGGCTGGTGATGCCTATGATGTCACCAGCACCTCTCATCCAGTTAAACTTATGGTAGTAGAAGTTAACCTTTTCTTTCGAAGTATTGTTGCATTATCAGATTTGTGGAGCAATCAAAGTGGCAATCGGCAAAGTAATGCATTCCCTAACTAATCAGATATCCCAGCTGGAACTCCAACACTTTAAAATCCACCCGTGATTTTTTTTGTATCTTATATGCAAATATGGGTGCAAAATGTACTTTACAATTCACTCTTTCTATCCACTTAATCCTCCTACTCTCAACATGACGCTCCGTTTTCTGGACAGATGAGATTTTGTGGCTAAGCACATTTTTTCCAGGGCACCCGATCACTCATAAGATGAACTGTAACTACAAGCGCTCAATTTGCATAACTCTCATTTATCAGGAGTTACGAGAATTACGATTTTCAAACAGAACTTAGGACATTGGCTACCTTGCTCTGTGGCTACGCAGCCCCCTCACCGTCGGCAGCCCAGCCGCGGCTTATGTCGCCCAGTAAGGGCCTTACTCCTCCTCCTCTTCTTCTTCCTTCGTTTAGAGGGTAACAATTACAATTTCACATTCAGATCGTCAAGCCAGATAACCGTGTCAGGAGTATTGAAGTGTATCACTGTGATGTCTCCTTCGTATTTGTAGATCGGATATTGCGTTATTACACTTTGTACGGTCTTGTTCTGGAATACCACAGTTGCACACTACTGGATTCTTTTTTTCTTACCCCTGACGATGAGCGAGGCAAAGTTGGAGACGCTGGCGCCCTCGGTGCTGTGAGCGACGCAACGGAACTTGTCCGAGTCGTCCTTGGCGGCCGTGGGGAAACTGTAGGTGGCCGTGTAGCGCCGCGCCTGCAGGTGGCTGCTGGCCACCATCACGTCCTTACCCTTCTGGCTCTGAGCAGTCAAAGTCAAGCACAAATTTTAATTTCCTGCCTACGATGAGTATCAAGGCTGGGCTCATCTCCTTTACAACCCTGAGCCATTGGTGAAAATTTCACATTGCTATGTCAGGGGCGAGTTCATCCATAGGATATCCACCATTATTGGCTTCCCCTACAAAGTGGTGTTCATTTTAATCGACCCCCAAGGGAAGGATGATGGGGCGAGTCAACCCCCCCAAACCGCTGAGCCGGTCGAAGCATCGGGACACGGACAGTTGCACTCAATGGCCAAGTTGCAAATGGCGACAGTGTCAAAAGCCACCAAACGCCATGGATTCACCGGGACAGCCTTGGTTTTAACCAAGGTTGCGGCAGTGCTAAGGTTGGGATTTGGCCCCTGTTTAAAATGTTCAGGACCTCTTGCTCATCGCATGATGGAAGCAACTGGGAGAGCAGTGGGCGGAGCTGACATCAGAACTCAGCTATCAATCTAAATAATTAGAATAAAAATTACTAGTGGGGGTGAGGGTTGGACAAAAGGGCCAATTTGAGATGGGCCTCCCACAAAAGAGGGCCCCACAACAGGGATATTGATGGCGGGATAAGGGCCTAATGAAACCTCTGTGTGGCCCCGATAATCAATGCAGCATCTGAAAGTAGCACAGAGGCACAGAGAGGTCACCTGCCAGTTCCTGCCAGGTTTGCGAATGGGCCAGAGTAGCACACAGGGGCCACGTGGCCAACCATTAGTCATTAGCAGAGCCTGATAGGAACAGGACAGTCATAGATAATGATATGATTAAACCTATATAGCCACGACTATCTAATATAAAAAATACTCATTCACAGCAGGGACATGTCAGATGAAGAGTACAAATTGTATTCTAAACAACACGTATTTAGGATTATGGAAGACAACTGGTGGGAAAGTCATGGGTGCAAAAAACAACTCAGAGCATTATCGAGTCATCCAAGGGCACGGGATTTTCAGAGAGAGATGATGGTGTAGAGAGCGGCAAGCGTCGAGCCAGATAACGCTGCAGCAACAGCAGCAGGAAAGCAAACAGGCGGCAAGAAGGTTTGAGAAGCCATTGAAAATATTCAGCAAACGAAAACCCGACTCGAGATAGCAGAAACATTCGCCAATGACCACATCAGCTGCGATGTGGCAGCACGGACCAAAAGAACAATCCGACACCGCCACCATCGTGAACAAACACAGCTCTCCGACTTAAACACACACACACACAGCATTTCAGAGGAGGCAAAAGATGTTTGCTGGCAATAATACTGTCAGAAGGGGAATGATTGATGAAGGAAGCTCGTAGCAGGAAGGAAGAATGCCGGAGGAAAGTTCAAGAGGTAGAAGAAGGAAGGCAGTAAGAAGACCATTGGAGGTCGAAGGAGATGGGAGGGTGTGACGATGAGAGAGCGTGGAGAGGGGAGGACATGGGAGGGTGTGGAGATGAGAACTGGGGAGACTTTCAGAGTGGAGGTCGCAGCAGGAGGGCACGGCTCGGCTGGCGGTAGCAGCAGACACCCCCGTGCCATGGAAAAACCCAAGCTTGGCACAGCCACTGCCGCTGCGCCGGCCAGAGGCGCACAAAGCCGTCTTTGTCTCCCATGAATTTTTAAACCTAACAAAAGCAAACTTTGTTGTTGTGACACATTTGCAATTAATGAATTCAAAGTAAGCAAAAAGTAAATTAAAATAACAACAGCAACAAGAAGGAATTAGTGTTTGAGCGCCGGCCAGCTGTCAAAGTGCATCTGCTTCTCGATGAAGCCCACGGTAGACCGAGCCATCTCGAGAAAGCAACGACGTTGCACAAACACAACATGGAGGAGCCCAACACCCCAGCCTGCGTAGGCTGTGAGAGAAGCCTTTTTCGCGAAGCGGGCTTGCCCACGGATGTGTGCGACACACACACAACGGACTTTTCACTGAAAACCGTGACAGCTCAATTTAATGAATTTCATGATGAAGTATGGGCACTCGTGACGGCACCACGGAGGAGCTGTTCTCACGTTTGCACTCAACGCTTCGGGCTCAACAGAAAACAGCACGCAGGCCACTAACTTTACAATGCAGATGCTTGCAATCACAGGGCCTGCAACCTTCGATATCTTTTCTTGTAAAAAAAGTGAATTCCGAATACAATACGGCCACGTACGCGCCGCGCGGCGTTTTTCTATTTGCGCGTAGATTAGCCGCACGCCACCAGCGGTCGGCCACCCTCCCCGCTCGCTCGCACCGCGTTCGGAGGAACGGCAGCTGGGGTGGGCATGCCTGAACACGAGGCGGCTGCTCCTACGAGGAACTCTGGAGACAAAGACGTCCGTAAATTTGAATGCCATTTAAATGAAAGAGGCAAAGAGACTTTGTAAGCGGGGTTTTTTTTTCTCCTAAATTTTTTTCAACGTTTCTTTTTTTTTGTTCATAACTGACCCCTCTTACAAAAAAATATCCGAGGAGGGACGGGCACACAAAGGAAGTAGAGTCATTGAAACCCCCTTGAGACCAACAGCCATAAAGATGGTGATAACAGAGACCAGTAATGGTATTTTTGTTATATGAAGCCTTTGTGCTCATCCTATCCCACTATTTCATCATAATAAAAAGCTCTTATCTTGACCGCCTCAGCCTTTCACGAATACAAGCATGAGCCAAATGCCGCTCTCCCGTGCGTGCGTAAGAGTGGCCGTCTCGGTCGCACAATGACGGCTCCCCTCGCAGCGAGAAGCGATGTCCACCCCTGGCCCCCGACGGAGGCAGCGTTGGGGCTGGTGGGAGAAGCGCCGGCGCCAAGCCCACTGCTCTCCCACCACAGGACTTCATTGCACCCGTTAACCCCCTCGACACCCGGCACACCACATACAGAATACCTCTCGCTCGGGCTACGGCGGCTGCTAAACAAGTGCCACAAAGTACAGCCGACCGGCGACCCGGAATATTACTTTATGAGAAAGGATGTCCTGCCTAGGACGCGTGCAGCAGCAAGATACCCGACACGTGCGCTCGCTCTACGAACAAAGACGCGCGTCCCACCGCCTCGCATCCCTCTCCTCCCCATAGCGTGGAGGGGCCTGCTGGTGGGGGCCGGGCACCCCTCCCCCCCGTGTTATTGTACGTCTCATGGTCCCTCCTTCAATCAAGGCTGCGTTGGGCGCAAGGCTCGGCGGAGAGAGAGGAGGAAGCCGGAGGGAGGAGCCCACCTGGAGCCACAGCGTGCCCAGCTGCTGCCGCCGACTGATGAGGACACACTGGATGGACGCGTTCTGTCCCGCGTTCACCTCTTCGTTCACCAGGTTGAGGAAGTGGGGCACCTCGTCTGCGGGGTGGACACGCCGCCGCGAGATCAGCTAATGCGAAGAAGCTCGATGGATTGTGGCATCGTAAGACCGTGAGAAAAGGCATGGGAAGGTCGTCATCCAACAGTGGACAGATCGTGGCTAATGATGCTGATGAGCGATGGTCACGTTTGGCGATACGTGGCGTGCGAGCGTGGCAAGGAACCGGGCGCACTTGAACGATTCTGCGCGACCGTCGCTGTAAAAATTAGCGCAGTGCAACGAGAGAGTCGGTGAAGCCAAACAGGGCCCTCGCCCCGCGCGCGCACACGCGGCAACATCACCAGTGGAGTTCATTTAGACGCCGTTTTTAATTTTAGTCGTGGTCCTGGTCTGGCCGACGGCAGCCTGTGACACTTCAGCCGAGCCTCAGTCTGTGGATTTCATTTCCTTAGTCCAGTTGACTATACAGTGAAAGCTCAGTCGACTCTGTTGCTAAACGTTGGTTAGAGTACCATACACTCCACCACCCTCCCTCCATAGTATCAGCTCAGCCAATCAGTGCACTCCGTAAAACTATTTTATGTGCATACATCGCCAATCACCAATTGTGGTCTTCCTCAGTGCAGTGCGGTCTATAATAACTAGATGATCCTAGGCAGCATCTTCATTCAGACTCAGTAACTCTGTCTCGTCACGGTCGTGCTTGGTTCGTGCTGGGCAGCAAGCCTAACCGTCATCACGCTCGATGATTTTCATCCACTTATCGTCGACCAGAATGTGAAATAAGCAAATATACATCTTGAGGAGTACTTTCACCAACAATCCCGCTCACGAATCGATCGCTGGTGGCCCAGGCCAAACAGGCGACACTCACTGCAGGGGTAGTTGAGGATGTGGACATCGGCCAGCGCAACATAGGACAGCTGCACCGAGCTCGTGACTTCGAACACGATCTGGGGAAGACAGCACAGCAAGTGAGCTCTGGCTTTCAATCTCCGCCACCACTGCCCCCTCTCAAGTGACGCTGCCAGGATGCGGGACCACTGTTGTTGTTGTTGTTCAATATTATTTCACAAAATCTCGAATTCCGGAACAGCATAACGTTATGTATCCGACGCAATGGGGACTGTGGATGATATGTGAAAAGGTCGAATTTGTGAACATATAGAAATTGTAAGTCACACCCTGTGCGAGTGCTGCACAGGGTGTGGGCGGTTAATAGGTCAGAGCGGATGGGCCATGGTCAAATACGCGACTTTGTGCCGTACTTTCAAGGGTGACGATTGTTTGTTTTATGCTGCCGATCACCACCCTTCATCTCGCCACGTGCAGGGGTCAGGGACTGATCACCGAATCGCCATAACAACGTGAACCTGAGCACAACTCAAACGTTCACCTCTCCTTCCCTTCCAGAAGAAAAAAAAATTATCATTGTTGATTCGTTGCTGTCGGCACAGGGCTGAAACGGAAACTTTCAGAGGTCCTCAAAAGCTCCCACCGGCCACGTCGCACGTGCGTCGTGAAGGTTTTAATCCCAGCGATTTGACATTTAAATTGTTTATGCGGAATTCCTTATCACTGGCCTGGCAAATGCATTCCTAGGAGCAGCAAATAAAAAATCCATTACCACCACAAAGAGGGACATGCATTTGAGCATAATCTCTGCATTCACGACTCCTTTCATGACAACAAAAAGGGAAAGAGCCTCACCAAATTAATTACATTGTAGGATTTTTACGGCATTTTTTTGGGGGTTCCCCCCACCCTCCACCCCCACCGACCAAGGGAAAACAACATTTATTTAGGCAATGATCCTTTATCGAGTAGGAATTTTCGTAACGATTAAGGATTGCTCGCACTTTCATTTCAAAGGCATGCATTCCGAAAGAGTGTTATTTCCCCGTGAATCATTTTCAAGATGCACCCCTTCTTTTATTTCTGATTATGTTTGGAAGAAAGAAAATCCGCCAGTGACTGGGACGAAGAAATCAACAAGCAGCTCCATTTAATTGCTTCCCCCACAGTTTATCTCACATTACTCTAATAGAAAGAGATTTTAAACGATTTCTAAAATGGGAAGGTTGAGAAACCTGTTAAAACGATTTAATTAAACCGAAATTCTTATATTAAAAGAGATTGTAAATTCAATCATTCCGTGTGCATGGCTTGCAAGACCTGGACATGACCCCAAGTAAGAAGACCAAGGCACAAGCGCAACCGGTGTTGCAGCGTAAGAATCATGGTATGGATTTAAATTAAAATAATTTATCCCTCTCACTGCCGCAACACTGAACCTGCCTCTACAAAATCACGGATCCGTTTATGAGGATTCATGAAGACTGCTTGAATCCGTGATTACAGAGGAGTGATTGCTCCTGTCAAGCCAAGCACAGAGGGTTGGGCTTGGGGTTAGAGTTGGTTTTAGGGTTAGGATTTAGTTAAGGAATAGGTAGGAGCTATGTTTGGGTTCAGGGTTATGGTTGGGTTTAGGGTTGGCGTGGGTTTTTTGTGTGTGAATATTTATTGTGTGTGTGCGCATTGTGTAGTAGGCGTTCTTGTAATGGTGAGTGTGCCTATGATTTTTGCATTCTATGTGTGTGTGCGTGCGTATGTGATTGCATCTGCGTCTATGCGTGTGTGCGTATCAGCCTGTGGGGTGTCAGGCACAGCATCCATTCATCTGCATGGAATCTGAGCACACGTCACAAGGCACGTCGATCGTGGCATTGAGCCCTCGCACTAAACGCGACGCCGCATCTCAATGGCCACCCAACTCCACCGGCGGCCATCGCGGCGCGCTTCCCGGCAAACGCGAGCCCCCCGGCCCGGCCACGCGTCTCCCCCACCCCCCTCCCTCCCTCAACGAGCAAGCAGAGCCTCAGGGCCTCCCTCTCCAGCGCTGGCGGCGGTTGAGAAGAGCCGTGAGAGGCGGAACCGCGTTTCATCTCCGGCTGTATAAACGCCTGCACGACCCGTTCCCCACCGGCTGTGGCCAGAGTCACTCTGTCCGTGCGGATGATGACAATGACGATGATGACGATTACTGCTGCGCCGCGAGCGACCGAGCGGGAGACGTCGATGTTTTTGTATCTGCGCTCTCTGCCACCGGCATGATCTTGCATCTCAACGGAGTTGCTCAATGGCAAACTGCAATGTATTTGAAATCAGAATCCTGATCAAATATAGTTATCTTTTTTGGTTCTTTCGGTAAAGTCACATGACTTTACCGAAAGAACCAAAGAAGATTAATCCTTGCAGTCACGAAAGCTTTAAATCGAAATCAAATATAGTTACATAACATACCATGTGATTTATTTTTTAAAGAGAGCTTTCAAACGAACGTTGAGAGCTACTGTGTAGGGCTTCGAGATTGATCTGAGTCGCTCTCCGATGTGCGTTCGAGTCACACCGCGTGCTCTTCAGCACGATGCCCGAGGAGGATAGCATTGTGAATCCATGCATATGCATGATTATTACTCCTCCTTTTTTTAGCAGCTCATTGAGGCACAGTGGAGGTCGTTTGTGCTCAGAGCTCGCATGACCCCCTCCCACGCCGTGCAAGGCAAAACCCCGGTGCAAAATCGGTGGCCCGCGGCTCAGTGTGTGCTCGCTTGTAGGAACAAACAGCCACAATGCTCCCTGGGAGGTAACAAAAAACACACGGCAGGAAAAGGCACGGCCCTGTAATTGTGTGCTCACATCACTGTTGGAGAAAGGGCTTCCCTCTAGAGAGCTCCTAACTCTTGAGATCTCGCTTTAGAGAGAGCTCTTTGTCGTACTTTTCCACGATGGCCAAATATCTCGGCAGAGGACAACCAGGCTGAGGCCTGCTTAGCTTCTGAGAGCTGACACGACTGGACGCATTCGGGGCGACGTGGCCGTGGGTGACGTGAATGGCGCTGCCACCGCCCCCGCGTGTTGCACCGCGGCAGCGCGGAGACAGAAGCCCGGACGCCTCCACGCGTCCGCGTCACTCCCAAGACGACGACTCTGACCTGGTAGGTGTTTGGCCAAAAGGTGCTCACGGCCAGCTCGGCGAAGACCCACCCTCTGGAGCGCGGCACGGGGGCCGTCCAAATCGGCCCCCCGAGTGCCCCCCCGTTCACCCGCACGTACGCGTGGAGTGACCCCGAGGCGATGGCCCCCACTTTGCTGACAACCTGAAATGAACGCATGGGGGGGGGGGGGGGGTGTTGGGGTGTCAGTGCCAAGCACCGGTCACGCACAAGCAAGCGCACGCGTAAAGCTTACCTGGAGGCTCAACCAGGACACATGGCGAGAGCTTGCAGCTCCTCTCTCTCTCGACCATGCCCCATTTTATACAGTCACGCCCACTCGTACACAAGTCCTGCCCACAGGGAGTGGCCTCCTCGCTCCCTGTGACGTCACACACCTAGCTATATAAAATGTCGTGGGTTTGTTGAGGACACCACTCACTGAAGGATGAGTTGACTATTATACTTGCCAATGATTTCATGGCCTGGAATTGTATTAATTGACTGTATTTATGTTGAACTTCTTTCGCGCCGTATGTATCCAACCACGCTCATCGGAGGTATGGGTGGAGGAGGGTTTACGACGCAATTTTTTTACAGGAACTCAACCAAAAACCCAATCATGAATCATAAGAAAGGCTGTGAACTCCTACGTATAAACGTCACCAGGATCATAGCACAGAGCAGACCAGTACCACCACTGCTGACCCTCCCACACACCACCACCTGTGTAGCTTTCGTAGACTGTTCATGGCGAGTGATGTTAGCGAGCACCTATTAAGGCCTATACAGCATACGGGAAGATGGTGTTGTCACCAATGCCTACCAAACATTGCCTCCCCCAATGCTGATGTCAAACACAGCACCAAGATCCTATTGTAGGGAGAGTTGATCTAGAGGATGCTTGGGACTGGTTCATAATCATAATAATATAATTTATAATGCGCGCAATGTTGCGGACCGAGATGCAAATCTGATGCGCGAAGCAGAGCTCAGTGTTGGATGGCGTCACGTGGTTCCAGGGAGACTCGGTGGTTAAATGTCGGGCTGAAGAGATGCACCTTTAGATGGTTTTTGACCGAAGAAAATGATCGATCGTTACAGATGTGGATAAGGGGGTGGCATTCTAGATAATGGGGGCTGCGACGAAGAAACCACGAGAAGCAGTGGCAGTCCTTGTCCTGGGAGTTTCAAACGGTTCTGCGACGCACTGCAAATGTTTCTACGATTCACTGAAGTGTGTAAGGCGTTGGCGGAGAACTTAGGTCCGGTGGGTAGCCGATTCAGATAATCACTCGCCACTGATGTTATCTGTGGCCAGGAACTGAAGCCTGGTTGCCGAGTTTCCACTGCACCCAGCTCTCCACAAAGACACAAAGACAAAGACCACCCCCCTGTATCGCCTCAACAGAATGTTGGGGGCAAGCGTTGCTGGCGAGCTGCACCTACGACGGCCAGACGTAGACATACACACGCTACTCTGATTAGCACGGTTGGTGTGACGTACGGTGCGAAAGAAGTTTAAAATATGTGCATAGACACAGACGCGCACACAGGATGAAAAAAAAGCGTTTCAATTTGTACCGTGCAGACCTGGCGAACCCTCTGTTTGTCTGGACAAATAGCGCAACGTCCACCTCTCCCTGCACTCAGGGGAAATGTCAATCGTGTCGGCGTTCCCGGCTTTAACCACAACACAAAGACTAATGCATTTTTTCCTCGGAAGGCACATTTATTGCGCTGAGCTCGACGTCTGTCGCGACGTCGATCTGCCTCGATCTTGTCTAGTGTGGAGCGCCAGTGCTGGGCATCTTCAGCCCTGGTACACTCACCGCCCATACCAACTCTCACCACCCCCCCTACCCCTTACAAAGATAAAGAACCCCCGTATATCCTGCAACAGGCTGTTGACGCAAGTGATGTTCGCGATTGCCACTGAAGGCCGCCACAGCGTACGATGGGGTGGGGTGGCAAACACCACATCAGGTCACCTTTGTCTCCCCGATGATGATGTTTACACACCACACCAGGTACTCATTTGAAGCCGAGTCGACCTTGGCTATGCCCATGACTAGTTCAGATAATCGTCACTGGTGTTGGCAGAGGGGGAATCGAACTCGGGTTGCCGGGTTCATGGCGCAGCACACTAACCGCTACACTACCGCTCCCCCCTTACACACAAACACACACGCACACTCACACACGATCCCCAGCGCTCGCTCCCAGGATGCACTTCAGAACACCTTCCCTCCTTTGGCGCCATTTTGCCATTAATCTCAGGGGCCACGATCCCCTCTAGCGATGTGTCCTGCCCAAGGCCCTTCACTTTTCTTCACAGCCAATATGATGTCTCCGAGTTGCGTTTGTTCTCTGATCCACGTATTGCATGATGTATATCTACTGTGCGATTCCAAGCTTGAATCTCTCCATCCGGCTTCTTTGCGTAAATTTCAGCTTTCGCTCCATTTTCGTGGTCAATGTTCCATGTTTCTGATCCAAGTGTAGTGTAATAGCGCTGGCTGGGGGACAGCGGTCTACAACTGTGGTGGACAGACAGCACACACGCCGGTGAGGGTATGAACGATGTGTGGGCAGACAAGAGGCACTAGGGCAAGGGTCACGGAGGACGCCATTCGGAGGACCCTGGGACCTGCTAGCGGGTTCGAGAAGGGAGGCGCAGTTAGGGCGGAGCCAGGCCGCGCTGGGGGCATAAAAGGAGCCGAGAGCGGGAGCTCAAGGCTGCCGGTTCTGTGGAGTGGAATCGTCTCGTCGTTGCTGTCGTCTCTTCGCCGTCATCGCTAAACATCTCTGCTAGATATTGCACTATGAAGGATAGCAATTGGCTATCTCAGTCTGTGCCGTCAGTGTTAGACGGCTAGTGTTGTGTACAAGCTAGGCTGAGCTACTGTGGAGAGTGTTTGGACGAGACCGTGAAAGTTGTTAAGAAAGAAAGTGCCTCCTAGAAACTGTCTCTGAATCGTTGACACTACAAATGTCATTCCAGATAATATACACCAATACAAATATCATATATAGTTTAATATAGAAAAAAAATTAAATCCACACAGAACTAAGCTTGGCCTTCTCAAGTGGTTCCAACAGATGGATAATCTGGTCTAAACCCGGGGACGAGAGGAATTCTACGATGCAACAAATGCCACCGCAACTCCTAGATTCACATCCGGGCACGGGAGCAAGTGGCCCCGTGTAGTGGCCACTGGAACCGGACCTCCACCCTAATTCAGCCAATGTTGGAGTAAATGACCATTCGAACCTGGGGGAAGGGGGGGGGGGGTAGAGTACCCAGTTCCCTACCTCATTGTCCTTCATAGAACTCAGCGTGAAACCATCAACGCGATTCACGATCCAGCAGATTCACTCCAGTCACTCGCTGAATGGCAACCAGTCATCTCCTTATCACTGTTCTACCACTGCCACCATTTTTTCCAGGATTTTTCTGTTGCGTGTAGTCACTTTAAGATGTTTCTTGTTCATGATTTTGTTGTGTTGCGGTTGCACCCAAGTCAAGAGCCGCATGGCTCACAGGGTTATACCTAATAAATGAAACTGAAATCATGGTTACCACACCTGTGAACTTCACTTCCCGACTTGGTCTACCAGACTGGATGTTGTGTGTCACCCACGCTGTGTTCAGCCACCGCACTGGAGGTCACAACACTCATAATTCTGCTTCTTTTCTCACACTCTGCTCAACTTTGGAATACTCACCCATCACATTTCCCCCCACCTGAGTTCCTACACCCTTGCTCAATTCAAGGAAGGTATTCATACCCTTGTCTCTTACACCTTCTAAAGTCCAGTTTGTTCCTGGCCACTTGGCACCTCCTTGGCCCTTTGAGCCTGTACTCAGTATCCATGACAAACAAAACAAAACGACGGTGCAACAACGCAATAATGCAGCAACGCAGCGAGCCACATAAGTCGATTCTGTTTCTGTGTGGAGGTACAGAGGAGGAAGCGGTGGTGGTGTACATGGTGCGGCGGTGGGAGGGGGGGAAGTGGAGCAGGGGAGGTGGGGGTCACCGTAAGTCGCATATCCGGCCCCGGGGGGGTGCGGCGGCGAGACATCGCGGAGGAGGCTCGGAGCCGTTTAACCCCAATTACTGCGGCCTCGGCGCCCGGGCGCTATCAGTGTCGCCGGAGAGATCAGCCGACCTGGTTCCCACGGGCGTTTTTTGTTGTGGCGGAGATTTGTTTGAGGTCGCGATGACCTCGAGATAAACAGCGTATGCTGCGTCTGTTTGGTTATCACGGCCAAAAAAACACCCAATTTTTGAATGAAAAATGTAAAAGAAAATGCGTAATTTTCTTGTTCTAATTTTTCATTTTTTTGTTTATCAATTGTATTCCTAACGTGCTATTGGTGTCACGGTGTCACAAGACAGAAGAAAGACATTTGCATTCAGAATTCTTGCAAGAAGAGGCAGTGGAACATCGCCCCCCATCCCCTCGTTCGAAAAAGACCTTTGAAGGTGACTTTACATAACTACTTCTGAAAAGTTTTCAATCGCCAAAACAGTACATGCTTTTGGAATAGTAAAAAAGAGTGTTTGAATATTTTTATTTTCAAAACAGGAACTGTTTTTCTCTCTCTACGAGAGTTAGTGAGTACTGTGCATGTTACGAGTTGAAATTATTATTCACAGTGACTTCGAACAACACTCTTCCTTAGCTTTCTAAAAAAAAAATCAAAGTCAAAACAAAGGGATAAATGAATATTGCTGATAACGAATTGTGTTGCTGAGCTGTACGTTCAGTGTGTGGCGCATGAAGCCTGTGGCCGTGGTACGTGGGGAAGGTGTGGCTCAGCGGCAAGCACACTGCACGATGCACACTGCACTGAGCTTGCTGACCGGCCTCCCATACCTGGCCTACCATCAGTAGCAAATGATATATTGCGCCTTGATTGACTAAGACTTAAATGTGTACCTGGCATGGTATATAAACATCGGCAATCGCGAGACAAAGGAGGCTGGTCATGGTGTCAGTCATAATACCCTTCAACAATAGATCTCCGACCTTAATAGGCTATCGCTAACAGCGCTTGCCCCAACATCAAATGTAGTGGTGTGCGTGGCGCACTCGGAGTCACGCACGTGGTACACGCGGGTGTCCGCCACGTGCACGGGGCACGTGCTGCGTTCAGGATGTGTCCGGGCGAGTTGGGGGCAGTCAGCCGTGCAGTGTCTGCGACACAGGTGCAACAGTCTCACCTGGTAGCTGAAGTCCAGGCAGTGCGTATCGTTCTCCATCATGGCCGGCAGCGCGAGACGCGCCTTGCTGCTGGTAGGTCGGCCCGCGGCATCGGCCAGCATCACAAAGGGGCCTGAAACCCACACGCACAATCCACACGCACGACCTCTTTTAAGACTGCAGAAGCCTAGCCGTGCCGCAGACGCCCAATGCAAAGAATAGGTCGAGATGCGTGCAGATGATGCGTTAACAGGCAATTAAAAAACATGCCCAACGATTATTTTGATCCGAATCCCGATGATAGGATCAGTATGCAGTTGAAAGTATTCACAATGAGCCAGTACAGCCTAGGTTGCTTATGAAGCCACATGATGAAAGGTAAGGTGATGAAACGAGGATTTATCTAGTGCCTAAATGTGATCAAATCGCAAGATAGTGCACAGAAACAGTGAGCAATATTTATTGTATAGAGCCAGTCCGCCATCGGCAGGTAAATATAGTAAGGTTTTGAGCTTGGAGTGGACAGCACAGACGGCTGGGGAAAAGAATTCAAGACAATGTGGGAAGCAGAGGAGAACGAGCAAATTCCCACTGAGCTAAGGTTGACTGGAGGCTTCGACGGGAAGACAGCGGAGAGGGCAGTGGTAGGTGAGTGTGTGCATGGTGGTAGAGTGAGATGAGAGGGTAGAGGTAGGTAGAAACGAGTCCTTAAAGGATCTTGGAGAAGAGGAGTGTGATAATTAATTTGATCTGGGACTGGATTAAAGAAGCCGGTGGAGGGATCGGAGGGTTGAGGTGTTGATGCAGTGCTATTCACGGGTGCGCTGAGGAGTCCGGCAGTGGCATTTCGGATCGAGGGGAAAAGGGAGTGTTGGTTGTTTAGGCCGGACCTCTTTTCAGAGTCTGTATTAGAAGTGTTATGATGGAACATCACACACACACATAAAAAAGGCACGTCAGTATTTTTCCAGAGATGATGGAAAAATTAGTGCAGACCGTGTCCTGGAAACATCTAAAAATTCATGAAAAAATATACGTTTATCTTTTACAATATTACACAAGCCTGAAAGAGGAACATTTCTTTCGCATAAAACTCAATAATGAAGTCATACATTTAACGGAGAATTCCCACTTGAAGCATGATTTACAACGCAAATAATTACACAAACTATTATTCAAATGGCTATTAGGCATCTGCGGCATCGGGGACAGCAAGACAATTGGAAGGTCAAGCTGCAGGAAAATTGGGTTCAGCCCAAGCAAAGGGAAAACATTAGCAATTTACTTTTTGTTTCAGCTGCTGGCCCCGCAAGGCTTTTTTTGCGAATCAAAGCAGCATTGAGCCAAATTCCCCGGCCGACTCAACACAACTTTATTTATAGCCAGCGGCACCACGAGATGACATGCGCGGCAGAACAATGTCACCCAAGCATCAAAACGCAATCCATCGCTGGGAGCCGCACTGCTTCCCCCCGTCCCCGCCGCCTCCTCCCCCTCCCTCCCCTCCCTCCCTCCCCCGCGATCTTCGTCGGGCGTCGCCGGATTTACCGCCACGCCCGCCACCTGCTCGCCCGGCCTGCCCCGAGCACCCAGCACCCAGCACCTGCACACGGGGGGCCGCTGCCTCCAATTCTTCAGATACACTCCGGTTTTTAGAAGGATCACGTTTCTTTATTTTAATTATTTTTTATCTTATTCTTGGTTCTTTCGGTAAAGTCACGTAGAAGGGAAACAATAAAATAATAAAAAATATAAAACAATAAAATTCTCACGACGTTTCGACTGCAACACAAGCAATCATCATCAGGTGTGAAAACCACAGCAAGAAAATTTGAAAAAAGTGGCGGTTATTTTTAACGTTAGCACCACGAGTCTGAACAAACTGCCAAATCGCTCTCCGTGGTGCTAACGTTAAAAATAACCGCCACTTTTTCAAATTTTCTTGCTGTGGTTTTCACACCTGATGATGATTGCTTGTGTTGCAGTCGAAAAGTCGTGATAATTGTATTGTTTTATATTTTATTATTTTATTGTTTCCCTTCTACGTGACTTTACCGAAAGAACCAAGAATATGACTCCCTGCAGTCACGAAAGCTTTAAATCAAAATTCATTTTTTATCTTGTTATTATTTTGCTTCTGCCCAGCCACAATAAGTGCGCCGCGAGCGAGGCCTCAACTTTGGCACGCGGTGTGCGACCGAACGCGCCGCAGATACTTCTCCCGTGCACCGTATTGCAGGCGTCTGACACGTCTTTTCTGGTGCTCGAGAAAATGTAAAAAAAGAAATGTGTAATCACGCAAACTCCTGCCCTTGAAGTAGCCCAGGTCGCCCGAGCGAAAGAGGCAATGTTTACATCTCCTTGGGGTTGGGTTTCTTTTTCAACACAATTGCCGAGCACAGGCCGTAGGCCCACCTCTCTCGACAGCCGAGAGTTTACACATATCCTGAGCGGAGCATGGTTATAATTTTAGGGGGTCGAGAAAAGCGACGATGGGCAGGGAATTCCACATCGGAGTGGTGCGAGGGAAGAAGCAGGGAGTCCGGTTGGATGGCAAGTTACTAAAACGTTCATTAAAAACGTAGCATATTTGATTTTTTTAATATGCTTACAAAGTTGAATGAAGATCATGTAATGTGTGTACTTTTAAATGACAGGCACTCGTCCTTTACAGAGGATATACTGTACATGGCGATATGAATATTGTAAATAAATGGGGATAAATGTGGTCACATAAAACATTTCATTTACAAACTGTTGTTGGTAAACTTACAAACTATTATTCTTGGTTCTTTCGGTAAAGTCACGTAGAAGGGAAACAATAAAATAATAAAACAATAAAACAATATTTTCACGACGTTTCGACTGCAACACAAGCAATCATCATCATCAGGTGTGAAAACCACAGCAAGAAATTTTGAAAAAAGTGGCGGTTATTTTTAACGTTAGCACCACGGAGAGCGATTTGGCAGTTTATTCAGATGGACGAGTCCATCTATGTTCGGAAAAGAGGAGGGGGGAGACGAAAATAATGGATGTGGTCTGAAAGCCACCGTAAGCGTGAGCAATCAATTAAGACCCGAAATGGTTTATCAAATTCTTCCAATGATTGCTAAGCCAGAATCCATCTTCTCGGTTGAAATTGTCTCTGTGTTTGTATATGTGGATAGCCTCATGAACGAATCTCTCATGGTGGCCAGATGGCTTTACCGAAAGAACCAAGAATATGAATCCCTGCAGTCACGAAAGCTTTAAATCAAAATTTTACAAACTACCGTTTGTAAATTTACAAACTGTTGTTTGTAAACTTACAAACTGTTGTTTGCAAATTTACAAACTGTTGTTTGTAAACTTATAAACTGTTGTTTGTAAATTTACAAACTGTTGTTTGTAAACTTATAAACTGTTGTTTGTAAATTAAAAAAAATGTGTTCGTATATTTACAATGTACGCTTGCAATTACATTGAGAGACGGAACAAGAAAACACGTGGATTAAAGAATATGCGAAAATAAGTCATTAAAACTGTTCTTAACAAGTGGGATTGTGCAAGACATACCATGGCTAGACGACACAACGACGACTGATAGTCAAGAATAGCGACTGAGTGGCAGCCGAGGAATGGAACACATCCGAGAGGTAGTCGACCCATGAGATGGAGTGATGAAATACAGCTCGTGTGCAGGGGCTAAGTGCAGGATCACGAAAGATGGAGCGAGGCCTTCATCCAGCAGTGGATTGATCATGACTCATTTGGATGATGATGATTCACTACCAAGCCCATGTTCGTACATCTCCCTTGCGATGATGATGATGATAACGGCGATGTCAGTACCACGGTAACTAACCCGCGCTGGAGGATTATCTCCAGTTGAGCCATTCTGCGCACAATAATTAAGGGGCGCGTGACTTTATTTGAATACGTGTGCTGTTCATTCGCATGTTGAAAAATTAATAAAGCCGCCCCGATGCAAGTCGTCCGTTCAGAATCTCCCCGGCTGCTCGCTTGGCGCGGCCTCTCCCGTGCCCGCCCGTACCATCGCGGAAAGCGCGCAACGTGGACGGATTAATTACTGTGAAGGGTATTTTTTTATCTCATTATACGCTATTATCATATTCGTTTGATTATTCGCTCGCCATGGCTCAACCTTGCAGTGTCAATTACTGCCACGTAACTAATTACTTTCAGTATTTGTTTACAGTTATGCTTAACAAGTCAGGTGTGCGGCTGCACAAGTGATTGGGGCAGCAGCAGCAGCAGCACCTGGAGATATTGCTACCCATGTCTACACAAAAATATAAATTTCAGATTTACATAGCAAGGGAGGCTGCCGCGGTGGTGTAATGGTGATTCGTGATCCAAACGCCGCCGGTTCGAATCCATCTGTGGCGCGAATGATGATGGAGCAGGTTCCTTAAACTCTACCCCCACTCCTGCCCCCATCCACCCACCTAACCCCCCCTTCACCCCACCTCCATCCTCCCAGTGGTATGAATGGATACGCCACAGTGTGGAAGAGTAGGCCGAATACCCGAGAGAGGTGCTCCATCGGAAGCTTCCTCCAGTGGCAGGGCCCTTCCACAAGCAAAGGCATCAGCAGGCAAGTGCAAGGCTGCACCGCGTGCCGTTTAAACGACAGCAGGCGGGCATTTGAACACGAGGGGCGCTTTGGGGCAGGGTCAGAAGGTCTGGGGGGGTTTTCAAAGCTCGCGTCCTTGCAGCCCTTGGCGACATGTGGCGAGCAGGCCGAGAAACAGCAGAGCCACAGCGACTGAAGCTGTGCTCCGAGTTGGGTTCCACATGCCACGGACGCGGCTCTAAACCTTCTGACGACAATTAATTACAGTAATTGGAAGAGACAAATTAACGTTGCTGCTCAATCCCGGCGGAGAGTGGCAGCAGATTAAATATCTCATTTTGGTGATTAAGCCTCTTTGGGATGTGACTTGGGGGACGCGCGATGTGGCAATTTATTTTTCTATCATCGCTAACGGACGCTCATTTCCTAAAATGCTTTGAAAAGATTTCCCTTTAATTCCTTAATGAACCCAGATTCTATCAGCTGAAGTGTTTCTTCCCAGAGGAATGTATTTTTAATGATAAATAGCTTTTGCTAAAAACACCACGAATGAA